TTGAATGAAAAGAATTTGCCCGAAATTACTGAAGAGAAACAATATTTGAATTATAAAATATCTATAGAAGAAATTAGGAAGGCAATCAAAAAGCAAATAAGACCCCTGGCCCAGATGGAATTCCTTCGGAATTCTATAAGGAATTCCAAGAAACAATAGAGGAGATATTGGTGGACTTGTACAATAAAGCCCTGGAGAACGCTAACATGCCTAAATCATGGTTGGAAACATATATTACTCTTATCTATAAAGAACAATCAGAGCCACAAAAAATTCAAAACTATAGACCAATATCACTTTTAAATGTAGATTACAAAATAATGGCTACAATATTGGCGGAAAGATTAAAGAGAGTATTAAGTAGAATTATCCACACTGATCAAAATGGCTTCCTCCCCCATAGGCAAATAAAAACAAATACAAGAACCATTATGGATATATTAGAATATTATGAAGTACACTCAACCAAGACAGTGGCATCGTTATTCTTAGATGCCCAGAAGGCTTTTGACAACCTGAATTGGAACTTCCTTATTAAACAACTGATAGGCATGAAATTTGGTGAAAATTTTATAGGATTTATTAAGACAATTTATAACATGCAAACCGCAAAAATATTAATAAATGGGGAAAATACAGATACCATAAAGATAAATAAGGGAGTAAGACAAGGCTGCCCCCTAGCTCCTGTATACTCTATATATTGGCAGAAGAGACTCTCTTAGCACAAATTAGGCAAAATCAAGAGATTGGAGGACTAAAAATTAAAAAAGAAGAATATAAATTCCAGGCATTAGCCGATGATATGGCATTTATATTAGAAGAACCCTTAGAAACGAGCCCTATACTACTAAAAGAAATAGAAGAATATGGAAAGGTGGCAGGGTTAAAAATTAACAAAGAAAAAACAAGTGTTAACAAAAAAATGTACAAAGGAGCAGAAGGAAGAACTAGCAAATAAATTAGGTATGCAGGTGGTAAATAAAGTAAAATACTTAGGGATCTGGTTGATTGCTAGATGTTCGTCAATTAAAAAAGATAACTATGATAAGTTAATAACGCAAATAGTTAAAGATTTAGATAATTGGGCCAAATTGCAGTTATTGTTATTGGGACGTATTTCGACAGTAAAAATGAATATTTTGCCAAAACTGTTGTTCCTGTTTCAAACAGTGCTAGTCAAGTTGGAAAAGAACTTTTTTGTAGAATTAAACAAATGTATATCTAAATTTATATGGCAGAGGAAAAAACCCAGAGTGAAATATAAATTATTACAGGATGCCAAGAAAAAAGGAGGATTTGGCCTTCCAGATTTTGAATTATATTATGATGCTGCTATAGTAAACTGGCTTAGGGATTGGGTTAAATTAGAAAATAGAAGGTTATTAGTATTTGAAGGTTTTGATCTCCAACTTGGCTGGCACGCCTTCATGTGGGATGGGAAGTCTAAACAACATTCATATTTCCAAAGGCACAAGAAATGTGTTGTTCAATATCTGGGAAAAGATTAAAAAAAAACACTACCCAAAGGTTCCATTGTGGCTATCTACATTGGAAGCAGTCACATATCCAAATCTATTGGATTATGAAAATATTGTCAGGTATAAAGATTTAGTATATGATACTGGAGAGCTTAAAAATAGGAACCAAATACAAATTCAAGGAAAGGAGATAGCATGGTGGCCCTTTGCACAAATACAAACCCATTATAAAAAAGATAGAAAACGATTTGGCTTTAATATGATCCCACAAGTATTAGATAAAATATGGCTAGGAGAGGAAAAGAAAACAATTAGTAAAACATATATCTTTTGGATTACAAATTAAAAGAAGAAACAGTCACAGAATCTATGATAATTTGGCCAAAAACGTGGGTCATAATATTGAATTAGATAAGTGGGAACACATCTGGCAAATTACAAATTAACCATGTCAGTCTCGGATAAAGAAAACCTATATAAAATGGTTCATCGCTGGCACCTACCTCCTGCGAGACTAGCTAAGATGTTCCCCAACCTACCACCCAACTGTTGGAAATGTAACTACGCACAAGGAACATATTTTCACATGTGGTGGACTTGCCCATGTGCTCAGAGGTTTTGGAGAAATATTAAAAATATAACAAAACAAAATTTAAAACTTGAACCTGAAACCTTTCTGCTATGTATGAAAGATTCAAACATGGAGAAAAAATATCAATATTTAATTTTGCACATCATAACTGCGGCCAGAATAACCTATGCACAAAACTGGAAACTGTCTTCTATCCCTTCAGAGGATATGGTAATTAAAAAAATACATGAATGTGCTGAGATGGATAGCCTAACCAAATTGTTAAAAAATAAACAAGATAGTGACTATTACAAAATATGGAACATTTGGTATGATTGGTTAAAGAAAAGGTAATATTTGATATTTGGATAAGTTATGGAAATGACAGAAGACGTGCATTTAATTATAAACTATATAGAGAAATTAAAACATTAAAAGAACGAAGGAGTTATTGTAACAAGGCAGATCACGTCAATGATAAAGATAAAGAAAAAAAATTAACCATTGCTCAATATATGCTGTAAAATGTATATATGTGTATATATGTGTGTGTGTGTGTGTGTGTGTGTGTGTGTGTGTTGATTTGTCTGTTTTAAATGTATGTCAAATAAATGTTTTTTTTCCTAGAATAAAAAATAAATTTTTTTTTAAAAAAGAGACTTAAGCAAGAAATTGAAAAAAAAATCCACTTTGACATCAATAGGCATTTAAGCTGCAAATAAAATGTCAAAGGGATAATAAAGATTTCTGGATACTTAAAAGCTAAAATATCGTAACTAAAATTTACGATAGTTATCATAATCTAGTGGAATGTTTGTTAATAAATAAATGAAATAAAACGAATGAGAGAATTGAATTAGGAAAGGATGGGAACATTTTAATTATTTAATTATTTATAAAATATAAGTGAAGGAGAAATGGGGGGGGGGGGGGAATTAATTATGGAAAGCTTATAAGTGTTCCCAAGGAAGTATATTTAATTGAAAAGAAATGTTAAAGATGTTAAGATTTTAATGAATATTAATGATAGAACTGAATTGGAATGGAATGAGTGTTTTAATTACATATATTTGTAATCTTTTTTTAAGAATATAGTGTGTATTTTAAGAATGTACCAAGCAGAATTTGATTGGAAGTTATGTATTATATTGAATGTTATAACCTTAAGGTATACATTGAAGCTTAAATAAGAGTTGAATGGATAAAATTAAAAGATATAAAAGTGTCATACTCCAATTAGTAACTACAGGAGAAAATTTGTTTAATGAGAAAAGATAATATGAAATTGAAAAAGGACAGACAAAAGTATAAATCTAATGATTTGAATTGAGATGAGATAATCAAAACAAAATTGAGAAAATTAAAAGGGGAAAAATTATGTAGAAAATGTAAAACAGTAATAAGATATGGAATAGAACACAAAAATGAGCATGAAATTGAGTTTGTGTCTGTATAAAGAAGTGTAACCTGGGACCATGCTATTTTCAAAAAAAGATGTTTTATTTGTTTTGTTTTTTGGTGAAAACCCAAATAAAACTTTCAAAAAAAAAAAAAAAAGATAAGGCTGGATTTAATGCTACCTTGAATTGTCTACAAGGTCCTTCAAGGGAGATGCAACTATTACCTCTATGGAGATGAATTTCCTACATTAACACTGCCATTTATTTGGCTGAAGTCACTTGATATAACTCCATCTCATCTACTGATCTCAGTCACTGCATACATAGTCAAACCTAAATCTGAGCAGAGTTGAAATATAAACTGCATTTGATCTTACCCCAAATCCTTAGATAACCTCATTCAGCATTTCAAATTCAGCACCACAAATACCATGAAGCACATTTTGGAAACAATTGTCTAGAATCTAGATATGAATATCTAGGTCCCTGGAATAGTGTATCCATTGATTGTCTGAAAGCTGCTCCTATTGGATACTTTATCAAATTGTCTTTGACATCAGCTTCTCCTTTCTTCACGGAAGGTGGGAGCAAGCCATCAAGAGTTTAAGCAAACAGCTTCCTTGCTAATTCACTACTTAAGAGGAGTGCAAGAGAAAAGGAAGGTACGTTCAATTTTATATGTATTATAACTCCATCTTGAACATATATCACATTCATGGAATTCACTTTTTTGTCTTCAAGAGTGGCTTTCAACTCTTCATAATTGCTGAATTTAATCCACCTTCAAAATCTTTTATACATTTATCAAGAAAGAAAATATACAGCCTGGATAGACAGGCAGTTAGCAATGGAAACCCAATGTGCTTAAGAGAATGCTGTAGAGGTAGCCCTCGATTTATGACAACTCAACCCAAAATTTATGTTGTTAAATGAGACATCTGTTAAGGGAATTTTTGCCCCATTTTTCAACCTTTCTTGCCATAGTTATTAAGTGAATTCACTGTAGTTGGTAAGTTAATAGCCTGGTTGTTAAGTGAATCTGGCTTCCCCATTGACTTTGCTTGTCAGAAGGTCACAAAAGGTGATCACATGACCCTGGGACACTACAAGTATGAAGCCGTTGCCAAGCAACCGAATTTGGGGATGCTGGAAAGGTTGTTAACTTTGAAAAATGGCCATAAGACATTTTTCAGTACTGTTGTAACTTCGAATGGTCACTAAATGAACTGTTGTAAGTTGAGGGCTACCTGAACTTCTTTCCAATGGGACAGGGGTAATATGGGACAACAACTCAGTAAACTGGGAAGGTCCTCCGTAGTTTAGAATCTCTTTCATAAATCCTGAAATTCCGTCCCACAATTAAAAATCCGCTGGACTGAGGACCATTTGATCCTAGCACTCCTGTTGCTGCTGGGTTTTCAAGCTACTTGATGGCAAGAATGGACCTTCCAATGTTGAACTTGGAAAGCTTTACCAAGCATCTCAATGAGAGTCCGTCCAATGGGTTCACGTGTAATCAGAGGAAGAAACCAGAGAGATACTACTCACCACTTATCAGCTGAGGTCTGATCTTCTGGTTCACCCAACCACAGCTTCTCCTCTGACTGCTCCAAATACTCTTCTGCCCATTTGGCAGGAGATACGGATAATGGATCTATGTAGAAATAGGATAAAAGTAAGTTAACTGGACAGCCTGGGAAAAGGAAGAAGAGGCATTGAGAGGTAACAAGCATTATCAAGCATCATTGCACATAAATACCTACTATCCTACTCAAAGTCATCTTCAATTATCCTAGCTAATGCCCTGGCTAATACCTTAGCTAATACCCAAAAATATGAGCTATTACATAAAGTTATGTCATAATGTTCCAGCTGGAACACTGTTATCTTAAGTCACCATCACCCATTTTAATTTGGAAAAAGTTCAGAGAAATGCAACTGGGATTGGGAAAATGATTTCGAAAGCCCAGCTGAAGACAATCAGGAAAGCACAGAGCCCCAGTAGCAATTCTGCCTTGTCTAACACAGCAAAGGAAAAATAAAGTGACTTGCAACATATTTAATTTGGATATAGTAAGACTCTAGATAAAACATCTAACTATGCAAATAACTATAAAACAGGACAAGAGTCCAAGAAACTTTTATCACACAATCTTCCTTCTCTAAGAGGCAGTACAACTGCATCTTTGAGGCCTGTTGAAAAATTACCTGTCTATTCAGAATGCCATTTATGTATTCAAGGAAACTCTAGTTGAACAAATCCTATGCTACAATAAACATGTATTTAGGCGGCACGGCTGTTATTTTAATTGCAATCCAGAGTTTATTAATAGATTTATATCCTATTTTTTTCCTCTAATGCAAAGTAGTTTACAGGGGGATCTCCCTTTTACCCTATGGCTGAGAGTGGAATTAACCCTGAATCCTTTTGTTGCTATGCTATACTGACCTCTCAAAACATATTTTTCTAGAACATATGTTTTCTAGGGAAACATACTTTTCTAGGCTTACAGACTTAGTTTTCGAAAGGCAAGACAGAAGAAAAAAAAGACTGACAAAAAGAAACAAGAATTGCATGGGAAATATTTAATACTATGCAGGAAAGATCCTTTATACTGCCAATCCTGCACCCACTCAGTTTACATGGGCTTTGTTTTTTTTCCTCCGCTCCATTAGATGCAATAGAGATGCCCACATCTTCCCAACAGCAGTCTTACCTGTAACCTCAGCAATGAACTCCTGGGACCAATCGGCATCATCATAATCTGCAGAAACCTCAACTGCATGATCAGATGCAGCAAGGAAGTCCTGTGCCCAGTTCTCTGAGAGAGCCAGCGCTGCCACCCCTGGAGCTAAGGAACAAGAAGGAGTCCCAATAAGTGTCCCAACACACACACAAACACACACACACACACACACACACACTGTAAAGCAAAGCTTTAAAATTCAGCTGTCACACACACTCTCACACCAATCCATACAGATGAGACCACCACTACCAGGCTCCTATTTTCTATAATTTACAGCTGTATTTTTCTATAATTTATAATTTTCTATAATTTACATTTCTTTTTAGAAACAAAAGACTGTTCTACTCCCCTTTGCCCAGAAGGTGTTTGGCTCTTCCCTGTTCACACTTACCTCTCTGTGGGGCCTGTCGGAAATTAGATTGCTCAATTTCCTGCATCTCAGCCAACAGATCATCCATCTTGAATGTTTGTGGGCCACGGGAGAGCATGGGGCCATTCTGCTCTTGAAGGAACTCTGCCACCAGCTGTCAGAGAAAATGATACAGGAATTTGCATGGGCAAATGTACGTTAGGGGCTGGAAATAAAGTCATAGAACAAGTCAGGGATAGCAAGAAAGATAGAAACGAGACATATAGGAAGGCTTACATCATCTTCAGTGGCTCTTCCAAGAGGTTTGGGCACCTAGAAAAGAGAAGAGATCTGGTAATTGTTTGAGCTTCCTCTTCCCTCTGAGGTTCCATCTCACTTTGGGCTTGTACAACTCTTTAGACAGTGAGAATGGTCAATTTTAAACCAGATGGAACTGTAAATGGGGAAAAAAGATATAACTGTGGTTCCAATCTCCCCATACGCCCTCAAGGAAGGATCCCCACAGGACTAAATGTGGGAGATTCAGGTTATTGGCAATACTTATTATCATTTTTCAGTTCCATCCATGCACTAGCTTAGCCTGAATAATAATGTTTACATAACATATCTGTGGCAAATATGAGATCTGAAGCAGGAATTTTCCAGATCAACTTTTAATCAGCTCTTGAAACTGTCACTGTGGGGGAAAATTTTTTTGAAAGTCTACTCGCCCTAAGATGTAGTAATAATTACGCTATAAGAAACCTAAAACCATTCCAAGTCACGCTATTCCACAATTTGATTCATAGCTTAATTTATATACTGTATTAAATCACATTCTTTTAATGAAAATTTGTTGAATAAGCCACAATGGCTGAGTTAACTCACTGTGCTAAACTACACAAGTTAGTTTAGTGCAATTATAAACTCAAACATAAAAACATTTTATATTTAAAATTCCTAATGAAATGGCATTATATTATGGCTGTGACAAAGAATGAAATTTAAAAAAATGTATCTTCAACCTACGGATTCAGAGACAGTTTCTAAAGGTATAGTGAACTGTAAGAGCCAATTATAAATCCTGGATCAAACAAAGATGAAATTCATACTCTTTGATGAAATAAAAAATAGATGCAATAGGAAAAAATATTCTGGGCAAAACTGAGGAAAATGCAAAGCAATAGAGACAACAAACAAGAGGGATGTATGGCATCAACGTGATTAGCAGAAAGTCCAGAAATGGGACATGAATCAACGTACTGAATGCTTTGTACCATCACCAGATATTGAATTAGTTTCAGGGCCCCTAAATCAGCTTTATACCTATTGCAAGACAGAGCGATAGCACTCTAAACAGGTTAAGTGTGTTAAACTTACCACATCTGCTACTGGACCAGTGGGAGGCCATGCTAGGGAGCCCTGGAGTCCTTCTTGTTGCAGGCCTTTGTCCTGAGTGAAGTGGCTAGCCAGCTTCATCAGAGGATTAGAGCCCCCGCACTCTGGCTCCACTAACTCCCTCATTGCCATGGTAGGTGGTGGAGAACGTGACACCCACACAACCCTCACCTGTCCAAAGAATACAGTTGCACAGATTATAGTATTTACAGTATATATAGAATTGTCTGCATGATTAGATTACCTGGTTGGGCAACTTCGAAAAGGATCATGGAGTGCAATTGTTGCAGTAGATGGAACAGAGTCGTCAATTTCCCTGCTAGTAGTAATGAATTTTGGAGCATCATCCCCAAAACCTATCTAAGTCATATCCAGATCTAACCATATATTTACTTACTTTCTATATGTGCTTACAAAATCCAGAAAGTATCAGCTGACCAACCATTATTATTGCCCAAAGTGACAATCAATGAACTATGGTTTATTATCATGCTATATAAGGTGTTAGATCAGCGAGCATATGTCTGATCCATGGCTAGCACAAGGCATGAGGCAGCTCATCATGTAATACGAATCACAATGTCAGGCTGATTAACCCAAGCCCTCATCCCAGCTCCTCCCACCCAGTAATCACAAGTGCTGTAGCTCAGACCCAACTATTATTGTTAGCATGGTACTCAAACACCACTTAACACTGACATTATTACTGTTCACTGGGGTTTACTGGGGTTTATATAAACCAGCAAAGCCCACACTATGGCTGTCAAAGCACAATGCCTGTGTTCATACAACAAGCAAAGTATGGTGATTAGCATTTGGTTTAGCATGTTGCACAACTCTTGGCTTAAAGTTCTACAATTGCAAGCCACTCCAAACTACATTTTAGGTACACACCCACAAATGAATTAAGAGGCTATAACAAACACACCTCACTCAGTCATATTAACCCAGAAAGCCCGTCCATAGAGAGTATTCCCTTTCCAGCATAGTTTCAATCAAAATCTAAGCTACCTTCTCCTCTGCTGAACCCTGATGCTCCCCAGTGGGCTACAGTTACCTAGCCGCCACTGGGCCATCACCAGGGGCATCCAGTACAGTATACACGTATCTTGATCACTTCATAAAACCCGAGGAGCGAGCTAGAGCTGAAAGACAAGTTCTGGAGCTTACTCAGGAGGGTGTCTATTGAGACCCCAAGAGGCTTTCTATACTATCCTAACAGCCGGCACTGAAAAAAAAAGCGAAAATGCAAGAATGCAAGCCGAACTTCATCTCAAGAACCTCCTCGACTCGGCTGCACGCCTGGCTGAATAACCAATCTCCGCCGCCCGAAAGGTTTGGGGCTGAAAACAACCAGCTCACCAGGCTTCCAAGGCCTTGCTCCTCTCCATTTCAAAGCTCGTCTTTCCCAGCACCCTTGCAAAGGATCTCCCCGCCTCCTCCCCCTAGTGAGCTGGATCGGGTCGGCGAACAACCTGGGGTCCATACCGGGAATCTCCCGCTCCCTTCCTAGACCCAATGCAATACCTACCAGCACGTCCCCGTGTCTGCTTCGTTCCTACAACATTCGCAAAAAAAAGGAGGGAGGCGGAGTCAGTCCTTAAAGGGCCAGCGCCGCAGCAACGCCGATGCCGGGGCTTTTGCCACGGAAAGCCAACCACGTTGGGAATATTGATGTCCGAAGAAGATTTGGTTTTCTGATGCAGAAGTAGAAACAAAACAAATAAAAAACAATAGAGTCCAATAGCAGTGAAGGTTTGGGTTAGGGTTAGGGACACCAATGTCACAGCTTTGACTGTAGTGGATATTTTATCCGCCTGTGTTTCAGTAAGTTCTTCCAATGCATTCAGAATTAAAGCTGTGCAAGGTCGGCTCACTTTTTGGGGGGCTCTGCCTGGTATAAGCTCTGGAAGGAATTGCTGTTTTAAAGTAAAGGGTAAAGAGATGGGTGAAAGAATTGCATTTCCCCATCTTTATTTCTTAACAGATGTTAGGAACTTTTTTTGAGTAATATTTAAAACCTTGATATCAAATCCAAATGACTTATGTATCTAAAGTGAAAATATTGAGGACTTGAAGCCACAAATAAATATATAATGCATAATGAGGAACTTACAATGCCACAAATAGGACTGATGTACTGTAACTACTACTCATGCTTAACACTATACATACCAGGCTAGTTTTCACAGGGAATTTAATATTTAAATCATAAAACTATTTATGAAAGTTTAAGTCATGTCTCAAAAGTCACTATTTCCCCATCCTATTGCATAGAATTACTCTCATTAATATGAATATTAGTGTTAGAAAAGGGTAAGTTGAATATAATATATATATATATATATATTATAAATATAATATATATAAAAAATATTATATAATATATATAAAAAATATATTGGTTTACCTTTCGTCTATTCATAATAAATTATTTTCTCAAGTAGCTTATTTCAGCTTTCCCTAAATTAGATCCTTCTAGATTTGTTAAAACTACAAATCCCTTTACATCAACTATTCAGTTGGGGATAGCAAAATTTGCCATTCACCATAACTAATAGTTCCTTGTTAAAAAGGCTAGTACCTACAGCCAAAATAATTAAAAGAGGATTTTAAAAGAGGACAAAAAGGAAAACAGAACAAAATTCATATGTTTGGATTTGTGTAACAATTTGTTTACAAAAATTAGTTTTACTTTTCCAACTAAGTTTAAGTTAAATGGCTCATGTAGTGACCTCCACTGAATCGTAACACTAATCCAATTTAAGGTAGTGATTTCAAGCCAAATGATTCAGTTTAAGTCTCTTTTGCCAGATGGAAGTAGGGGTACTTACTTGTAGGGGTACTTCCATCTGGTAATTTAAAAAAACACTGCTTCAGTCCAGAATGTCTTTTGGACTGTCTTTTCTGAACAATGTCCTTTAGAACAGTATAATAAAGTAAACCTGAAATGCTACCATACTGAGGATGCTGATCTGTTGACTAACATTCTCCAGAAGCCTAAACTTTTTGCTGAAAACTACTTAGTCCACAACTACAGTTTATTCAAGTGGCTTAATTCCCTAGGTCCTACACATCCTAAATCATAAGGTCACCACCCTGATTGGGCTTAAGACAAGCCTGTTCCTGCAAACTTAATAAGGCCTCCAACATAGGTCTCAAAAATCATTTTTCAAGCAGTTTAAATGTTATGGTCATTTCCCCCGAAAGATAAAGATTCAGGAGACAATAATCCGTAAACTTCTTCCTAATTAAGTGAAAAGCTCAGTTCATACCAGGGTAGTTCCATTCTTGTGAGATTGTCATGGGGCACTTTTTAATACAAAAAACAGGCCCAGAAGGCAGCAATGCAACTCTTACATAGCTCAATCCAACAGATTCTCAAGCGCTGCACATGGAAACTGGGATGAAAGGCTACCTTCTGTTTGAGGTGCCCCAAAGATATACCAAAAGAGCTCTTGCTTTGAGCCTCTCCAAAGTTGAAACAACTAGAGAAATATGTCTTATAACTTTGTGGTTTTGTTATTTCGGCTGAATGGCATTTCTAATGCTGTTTTTATGAGCGCCCATAAAGAAACAATTACTTTATGAAACAGATATTATAGGAAGAGGGTTGTGTTAAGTCTATGGTACCACTTTCCAACTAACACATTTTATTCTTAACATGCATAAGCTGTAAGTAAGCTGCATAGGAATGGCAAGGCTGATATAGGATTTAAACTGGGAGAAGTGGGAGGGGAGAAGTGGGGTAGAAAAGAAAGGGTGGTTATGCAGATGGGAGTTATATCTGAGACAATTGAAAGTAATTATCAATTAACAATTGTTAATGTGTTAAACACCCACGTTTGTTGAGACCTTCTGAGATTGACTGAAAACTCTGATGTGAGCTCAACATTTCAAGTTCAGTTGTGCTATTAAAGTCCCACTTTCCCAAAGCAGTCACTTTGAAGTCTGCTATAGAGATTTGTGGAGGATTGAAATGCTGATAGGTTTGTCTTGGGTTTGAAGGCTCAATAAATACAGTAAGTTATTATCTACATCCATTATGGAGATAAATATTAGAGACCCAGGATGCCACAAACCGCTTTCTGTTCCAGAATAATCACTTCTGGAAAATGAAAACTACCCCAAAATGGCAGATGTACCCTTCGCCTCAGTGGAATATATTTAAGAACATCTTACTGAATGGCAGAAAAATATCTAAAATGAAATATATAAACATTTTTAATAAAAAACACATTATGGTGCAGTCTAATAAAAGGCTGTTTAGTTCTAATGCAGGTAGAAAATCTTTTTGTTACAGTTTTACAAAGAATGGCCTGTTTTGCAGTTCTTTAGGCAATAACTCTTATCTGTAGGATTCAAAAAGAAGAAAACTTGAGGAGTAGCACAATTTGACCGGAATTGCGTGGCCTATCTTTATTGTGTTGAAAGAAATATCCTTCTGGGTTCAGTTCCAAGTGGGGAAAAAGACACTGGAAACATGGAGGCTGCTTGGAAGGTTTAATGGTGGACAGGACCACATGGCCTGGAGCTCCAGAGAAGGATGATCACATGCTTCAAGGTGAGAAGAGATCAAGAAAAAAGGACTGAGTTGCTGAGAGTGCCTGGGTTTTATACTCTCTGTTGGAATTTGAATTGGAGCTTGTATTCTAATTGTAGACTCCCAGGGAAAACTCTGTAGGCTGTCCTGAGTTCCAGGCTTGGTCTAACCTTGCTGGGTGATTATGCCCTTAAAAGGGCTTTTGCCAATTGCTATAGCTTACCTGGAGTCCCTTGTTATGTATTCTGGCCCAGGCCTTAATGGCCCACCCATTAACAAAGGTGGGGGTGAGATTCTGCTTCTGAGGTGAGTTGCTGCTTCTTGAGTTTCTACTCTTTTTAGGGGAAATATTCTGCCTTTTTAATATTTCCTAGGCTATTTCAATTTTCTAGGAGAGGGGTGGGTGCTAACTTCCTACAAATGTGTAAGAGGAGAAACAGCAAGAGATAAACAGAGAAGGGATTATCTTCTCCTTTCTGCAATTTTAAATTGGCATTCTTTTCTTGTGGATTATACCTTTATTCCTGTTTACCATTAATGATAATCTGCATTTTAATCTTATACTACTTATGATCAAAAAAGTGGTCTTCTAAATTATGAAAACACTGATCTTGTCCCCTGGAAGATTCTCTTGATCCCATGGAAAATCCCTTTCTATGATGTTCCTTTAATCTCTGCACCCTCCCTCTAGCAGTTGGGATCTGCTCTTGGTCCAGTGAAGTTGACCTTGGCCCCTTAAGACCTTCTCTGTTCCTGCTGTTTATTCCCAGTAGCCCTTACAGGTAGTCCTCAATTTACGACCACAACTGACCGGAACTTTTGTGTTATTAAGAGAGAGAGTTAAGTGAGTTTAGCCCATTTTATGATTTTTCATGCCACAGTTGTTAAGTGAATCACGGAAGTTAATAGCATGGTTGTTAAATGAACCTGGTTTCCCCACTGACTTTGCTTGTCAGAAGGTCTCAAAAGGGGATCCCAATAAAAAAGAATATTTGTAGCTCAGAGTTGAAATGAGGGGGTCCTCATTTCAACTCTGAGCTACAGGTGATCACATGACACCAGGACACTGCAACTGTCATAAATATGAACCAGCTGCCAAGCATCTGAATTTTGATCATGTAACAATGTGGATGCTGCAATGATCATTAAATGTGAAAAATAGTCAAAAGTCACTTGGTTCAGTGCCTTTGTAACTTTGAACAGTCACTAAATGAATGGTTGCATGTCAAGGACCACCTATATTGACCTGCTGAAACCAATGAAGAACATGTGCTAAAGCCTTCCAATGCTAAAGATCTCAGAAAGACTTGTCCCTTTAGGACAGAGGTCTCCAAACTTGGCAACTTTAAGACTTGTGGACTTCAACTCCCAGAATTCTCCAGCCAGCTGGCTGGAGAATTCTGGGAGTTGAAGTCCACAAATCTTAAAGTTGCCAAGTTTGGGGACCTCTGCTTTAGGACAATTTTTTTCCTTAGTTCCCTGCAGGCTTGCATTGTTCTACCTGCTTTGCACATGAACATTTGAAAAGAATTTATCATCACAACTGAAGTAGTTTGCTTAACCCATCAGAGTTCTGGTTGCCTAAATCCATTGAAGTGCCCAGCAGTCTAACCTCATTAGAGCCTTAATCAGCTAGTTATCTTAAGCTGCTTTATAATGCATGCCTTGAGAATGTCAGATTTCCCTACCATTTTATTAGTTTAATAACATATTAATGTCTTTTATGCATTCTGATGAAATTTCATATGCATATAGGCTTTTGGTAGGCCATAATATAAAGACTAATTACAAGTAGTCCTCACTTAGTGACCATTCAAAATTACCATGGAGTCACGCCAAAGCTACTTACAACCTGGTCCCAGAGTTCTGATGGCCACAGTCCCCCTGTATTTTGGATGCTTGCCAACTGGCTGGCATTTACGACTGTCACAATGTGCTACAATCACATGACAACAATTTTTTGGCATTTTTTACTAATTTCTGGGGGGGGGGGGAAACTCCATTGAAGAAAATGGGTTTGCTTAATGACCAGTACAAAAAGGGTCATACAATCGGGTGTGACCCATTTAATTACCACCAAGACATATGACTAATTCTGGGCTCAATTATAGTAGTAGGTTGTGGACTACATGTACCAAAGGGAACATTTTCACATTGGACTCCTGATAACTTCACGAATAGAGCCATGCCATTTTCCATGCTTTTTTTCTTTTTCTTGAGTTTTATTAACGTTCATTAGAATATAAAATACACATTTTTTAAAAGGTCATAAGGGAATAGAGAAAAGTGAAAGGAAAGGAGGCAAGGTTAAAAAAAAACCCTCAATGTCTTCCAACTTTTTTCAGTGCAAGAGAGTAGAAAATACAGTTGCAATCACAACTTTTTGCTTTCCATATTTAGTATTAGCCATTTCTAAAACACAGTTAATCTAATAACCAAAATCTAAAATCAAAGTTTCAATTTTTGTTGTTAAAGTTCAGAAGCAGTTTCCAAGTGGAAACAAACTGGATATGATCTTTTGTTTAATTAAAACAGTTAATTTAGACACTTCTGCCAACTCTATCACTTTTTTTTATTCATTCTTCCACTGTGGGAATTGACATATTTCCATTTTTGTGCAGATAGGATTCTCTCAGTGGTCAATGTATATAACAATAAATTTCCTACTTTTTCCCCAAGTTTTTATCTAACAACTCTAAGAAAATAATTTCTGGTTTCAATTTTATATTTAAAATTCTGAATCCTTCTTCTTTTTAAAAATGTTTTCCAAGCCTGTTTTTCCTACTCTTAAACAATGAGTATCAAGAGGAAACAGAAAGATGAGTATCCACAGAAATATTAGAGTAGTAAACTTTGCCATGCATTTGCTATATTAGGCTTTGGGTTCACAGATTTGTGGGCCAGATCATGGAAGAAATTCCAATATAACTTGCGGTATCAGTTTCTTGACATGAGTGACCTTGAAAGTCTGATACAAATAGACATTCAACTGTTGCTTTTACGTTCATTTATTATACTTGTATAATTAAACTGTTGTCATACCCAACAGTAGCTTACTTGCTCTTTAAACATATAGTAATTATTTTTCACTACAGAATGCATACTTCAAAATTTGAGGGCTTTTTTCACTTTGTTAAAAAAAAGTAAGCATGCCAGATGAATATTAAATATAAAAAAAAATATTTCTGCGCCATTTGGATTAGTTCTATGATCACATATTGTTTTTGATAGTACAAAGTCTTTGTGCTGGACCTGATGTTCCAGGAGATTAGCAACTGAAATATAACTTTCACTGAAATGATTAAACAGTTGGACCCCTTTCTCTTCAGTTTTATATCTCAGCCTTTTTAACACAAACACATGCTAAAATTACTGCATCAAAGGACTAGAGACATGTTTCAGCCTATCCATATTTTTAGTTGTATTAATCTTTTTAACCTCAGGCCAAGAACGTTCACCATTTTCCATTGTGAAAAACTTGGCTTCTTCATTTGTTTTCCAAAAATATACATGAGATAAACATATATCCATAAACACTCTTAACGTATTCCATAAAAGGTTTGAAACAAATCAACATCTTTTTTTTTCTTTGTGCAATAAAACTTTTTTTCTCCTGGCAAGTTTATACCTTAGTTGATAATCTACTGTTATTAAAAAGTTACTTGTTTTTCACACCATCAGAAGTATTTTATTAAACATATTGAGCTTTCCATGACCAAATTATGGCTTATGCTTCAAAATATAATTGATAATTGACAGCCATTATTGTGATTTAAAATAATTCTTAGTCCTTCAAATACATAAAGGATCCTTTCCACTGAAAGAGGTGAGAGAAATTTCATATTGCGTTGTTTCAACCCACCTTATATACTAAACTGCAGTGTCACAAAACTTAAATATGAACAATATATGTGGAAATATAAATTTACTCACCAAGAGCTTCAGTTTTAAATGGTAAAATGGCAACTGCATTTTGAATGCTATTCTGTCCTACAATATATGTAGGACAGAATAACATTCAAAATACATGTGGCACAGTTAATTACAATCATATTCCTTCTTATTTTCTATTTGCATCCCTTTTCTTCACATCTCAAGGACTGTATTATAATCCTCAAAGCAAAAGTCTCACTTTCTCATAATGGCCATACGTTTTGAGAATACAGAGGTCATTTGTCATTATTTTGGAGATTCCCCTAGGAAATCACTAAGTCAAAGTTTTAACATTTATACCTGTTTAGTCTAAACAAAGACAACCAGCCACAAACAACTATTAAACAAGTTTAGATTTGATCAACATTTCAAGTGTTTCAGAACATATAACTGTAGGTGCAATTCCAAAATAGTAACATCACATCTTGCTTAAGCAATTTAGGTGCAAAATATTTTGCAATCATTTGGAACTGGCCTCTAACTCCTCCCCCCCCCCTTTTAACTCCTGCTAGAAGAGGCAGTTTCCTTATGGTATGAATACACAACTTGAGAGTATTTTGTCACAAGCCATCTCCACAAAGAAGACATCTAACCCAACTTATATCTCCTTCGTACTTTTTGCAATGTTGACTTTTTGAAAGCAGAGGGGAGGAACCAAAGGACTGGATGAAAAGGACTTCTGACTGTTCACAGAGTAGCATACAGCTTTTAGCTCTTGGCAAGGAGTCCCCTCCAAACTCTCTGCATGGTAGGAGAATGGGGAGCTGCTTCCCAGATCAGGTATCTGTGATACTGCTTATAAACTCAGCTTTAATCCAGAAGGCAACCACGTCTCTCACCCTCAGCCCAATTATTTAGGCCTAACGTTAGCCCACAAATCTTGGGAAGGGAAGCTCAGCTACATTAACCAGTCTCTGCAGACATTTTAAAGTTAATATTGTAAACATTATTAAATGTGCACTTTTATTAAGTTATTCTCATTAACAGTTGAATAATGAATGGAATAAAGTCAGCCTTTATGGTACAAACTGTGGATATAAAATAAATAGCAATTACTACTTTGAACTGTTAACATCACTTCAGCTAGGGTTAGGCAGCTCCCTGTTTTGGGAAGTACTTTGAAAGTGCACAGAGATGGTCTGTCTTTCATAAACAACTGAGTCAATAAAACGTCTTCATTTAGGCTTTGTAATTCTTGTTTACAAATTTTGAGAGCACATGTTCAAATTTTGCAGAGTGGACACATGCACCAAACAATTAGATGTTCCATAATACAGCTATAAGATCCTCCCGAAATTCCACCTCAAACCCAGTTGAAATCTTACCCCTCTCCTTGCCTCCCAACCATAAAACTGAAAACCACAATATATAAACTATATAAAACATTGGACTAAAAACTCCTGACTCCTTGGCCTTTCCTCTCCTCTCCAAAACAAATAAAAATCCCATCCTATCCCTTAAACCATCTTTACGGATTTTACATTAAATGTATAATCTGATACTATGGTTCTCTCCACTCGTCCCCTTTACGTCAAACAGGTAAGAGACCTGTTAAAATCCCTACTGAACTACGGTATATTTCAGCTCAGCGACATAAAAAACAGATCCCACGAGCTTGAGTTCAGCCGCCGTAAAGCAGTTTGTGCAAACGTATGTTGCAATCAAGAGGCGGAGCTGCTGTCTCTGGACAACAGCTGCCAATCACAATGACGCACAAAAGAGCCGGCTTCAAATCGTTTCTTCGGACGAGCCAGCCGGACCGTACCATGGGGGGGGGGGGGGGGAGAGAGACGGGCCACCTTGATCCCTTCCTATCCTCAGCGGCAGTCTTGCTGTAGTAGTGCAGCCATTTTTTTTATGTTCGCCATGCAACTTCGTCTTGCTGGGAAATCCTTGAGAGCCAGAATGCACCACGACGAGGCTAGTGTATATTGCACCCCCAAATACATTGCATTTTGCTACTCCATACGAAATAAATTAATGACGCAATAACATTTTTAGATTATTATGTGCAACTAAGCACCGACAACTTCCATTTTATTTGCCTTGAATTACTGGGGGGGGGGGGGGGGGGCAATTTCTGGCCATTAGTGGCATTCCAAGCAGGCCTGAATCGCGGTCTTCCTCCTCCCAGTGCTTTTCACCTCTCATTACTGTGGCTAGTGGAATCCTGAAAGGTTGCCACAAAAAAGTGTGTGTGGGTGGGTGTTCTTATTTTCCAAAGCACCAGAGAGCAGGACAAGAATGGATGGAAACTAATCAAGAAAGAAGCAACCTAAAATTAAAGAGAAATGTTCTGACAGTGAGAACAACCGACCAATGGAACCGCTTGCCTTCGGAAGTTGTGAGTGCTTCATCACTGGAAGTTTTTTAAGAAGAGACTGGACAGCCATTTGTCTGAAATGGGTGTAAGGTCTCCAGCTTGAGCAGGTGGCTGGACTGGAAGACCTCCAAGGTCCCTCCAGCTCTATTCTGATTGAATATAGAAGTTGCCCAGAGGCAGCGGAGCCAAGCAGTTGAAAGCTCGCCCAGAGCTCCGATTTGCGCAGAGAAGGAGGCGCCGGCCCTGCGTCAGCCGGGACAAGGCGGGACTTGTGACACTCCCTCGGCCCGCCCTACCGGCCAACACGCGAAAAAGTCTGCGTTACCGGCAGCGTCGGACGGAGGCTCCTGCAGGCTGCAGTGGCCCCACAAAGGAGCCGGGCCTTGTGGAGCGCAAAAAAAAAGAAGACGCCTGCATTGGAATCCAGGCTCTTCAGCCGTGCCGAAGAGAGAGGAGTGGACGGAATGAGCCTTCGGCGGGAGCCCAGCCGGGCACACAGGCGCGAGGCGAGAGGGATGGCCCGCTACAGCACGACTCTGCATCTCGTGGCCGGCGGGTGAGTAAGGCTACGGGCGTCTGAGCACGACCCGTCGCGGGGATCCTGCGTGTGGGGCCCAGCAGCATTTGCTGCAGCGCAGCCGGCTCGGCTGGCAAGAGCAGCGTGTTCGGATGAGGCCAGAGCACGTGCTTGCCAGCTAGGTGACCCTCGCAGTCCTGGGCATCTCTTACTAAGCATGGCGGGAGTTCTGAACACCACTGTTAAGTATTGCTCAAATTTGGCTGGGGCTGTGTGCCGCTATGAATCAAGTGACGCATAACTTTTGCACGAACTTTCGGCAGATTGGAGGTCTCGTTCCTTGGACAGTGTGCAAATAGGTTCCGGATCAGTTGCTTTCTCATCTGCATTGCTGCTCAGCTTTCGTTATAGCTGACTTAGGATTTGTTGCACACCAGCTTCTCCGTTGGTGGCATGAGAGTTAAAATGAGCCGGCAGCGGCTCTGAAAGACTCCCAGAGTTTTCGTTCTCCCCTACTCAAGTCGGAATGAATGCCGCTGGTAGGAAATCTTCCAAAAGTTTTTTTTTTTAGCCAAAGGTATCCTTTTTCATCCTGCTCCCCTTGCCGCGTTTGGAGAAAGAGACCGGATAGACTGTGAACACGTGGGCAGCTTTTCAAGTGCCCACTACTGTGAAATCAATAAGAAATAAATTTATTTTGCCCAACTTAGAGAAGGTTTAAAACTACACCAATGGTGTGATTAAAATTGGCTATGAAATCAGTGTACGCCTCCCCTATGCCTTCCGCGATTCTCCCGCGTTAACCTATTCTTTGCCGATGGGCTGTTAGAATAGAATATAGAATAGAATAGAATACTTTATTGGCCAAGTGTGATTGTGGACACACAAGGAATTTGTCTTGGTGTAAATACTCTCAGTATACATAAAGGTACATTCAATAAGAATCAAGAATCATAACGTACAACACTTTTTTTTTTTTTTTAAACAAGTTTTATTAATTTTTAAAACACACAAATTATCATTATTCATTACATGTTTAAACCTTTTTTCATTGTAAATTTAACAAGTCAGATAAATTATGATTCTATTTTAAACCATTTCCATATAACATACAAAAACCTCTTATTCAATTTCTCTTTACTTCTCTTTACTCTTATTCAATATTATTATTATTATTTCATCTATTTCTTTCTGACTTAGTTACCATTATTCTCATTCTATATTTCTGCAAGCTTTTACTAATTCTCCCCCCCCAAAAAACATATACACACAACACACAAAACATAAAAAAAATCTTTTTGGAAAGTAACTTGGACCTAGGTATCTCTCTCTTCATGGACTTCAATTATCTTCATGCTCATCTTACATATCATTACTTATTTTATTTACCATTCTGAGTCTTCTATATTAACTTCTCCACATATTTCACTCTTCTTAATTCTATCTTAATTAATCATCTTAGTTTGAATCATTATATTTGTATCTTTTGTCCATTTTTTATCGTCCCTTTGTCTCATTCCTTATAAAAAAGAAAAAAATAAGTTTCTCCTGAAATCATTAATCAGAGTATGATGCCTTTCTATCTCCCCCCTAAATTAATCAAATTAACCTTTAAGATAACATCCAATACCCAATCCGATTTTGCTTGGTACATTCTATCTAACTAGTACATCGAAAATATTTAAATACATAATTAGACAATAAATCCAAATATTAAAAACAAATACTATAATAAAAATTTTATAATAACATCAATACCATAATCTTATTAAACTCTTTAATTAAAACAGTATTCTAAACCTCCCCTATTATTAAATTTTAAAGCCTATCATTATTAAACATTTTAACATTTTAATCTCTTATCAACTCTTAAACCATTACAATACTACCATCTCATCTTATGTACCTTGCAAAATCTTTTTGAAAAAATTATACTTTATCCATTATCCATAAAAAATTCCTTTTTTTTATTTAATTTCAAAACATTGTAGCTTTTCTCCACCTTTTCCCTTTCTTTCTTCTCCCAACAAACCTTTCTACCCCCCCTTCTTCTAGCCTCTGCCTTACTGGCTTCCCTTCTCTGTCGTGTTCCTTTTCCCTTTTGTTTACTGTCATCATATTGATTTTGCACCTTATTTTTCCCTTTCTTAAATGTTTTTTTAGATCTTAAGTCTTTTAGTTCTCTTCTTTTCTCTCTTCCTTCTTTCTTGATCAAATTCTGAGATTCATTAAAAATGGCTCCTTCCTTTCTTTCTTGTTCCTCTGCTGTCTTCATCTGTTGTAATGTTTGTTGATAGTTAGTAAGCGCCATTTCTAAAAAAAGGAAAGCTTCTTCCACACCATCTTTACCATTTTTTTTTGCTTGTTCATATTCTTTTCTTAGTTCCTCAACAGAAAAAGCCATTATAAATCTTTTCTTTTCTTTTCCCCTTCTTTCTTCTTACAACAACCAGAATATTCCAAAGAAAATAAAAAAAATAAAGCAGTCCCAAAGTTATCAGTCAGTCCAAACCAAGGCAGAGTTCTCACTTTCTCCTTCTGGGGTAATATCAATCAAAGAGAAAGAAAGTCCAAATCTGTTTAAAATCTTATTGCAATATATTCTAGACTTCAAATCCTTAAGGCATCTCCTCCAACAAAGTCTTAGCATACAAATATTTTCTTTTTAATCCTCTCTCTTCCCACTCATCGCTTAAAACCAATTTTCACCTAAAAAAAATAGGTTTCTTAATATCCAGTTATTTATTCCGTAGGAAAAGAGGATAAGCTATCCTTTCGGCACCATCAAACAGCCGCTTTTTTCCTCTTCTGGCAGGTATTATTCAGAAAGTCATACTTTTCAGGAATTTTATTAAATATGTCTTAGAGTCCTAGGAGCCAAGAAAAACTTTCTCCTTTCAAGCACTTTCTCCACTTCCTCCTGCGCATTCTTACCCGGCTGCCAGCTTCTTTGTGGCGGCCATTACGGACCGCCGCTGCACCGTCCTGGGAAAAGGGGGTTCTACCGGCCGGGGAGGGGGTCTGCAACACCCCCAAACCCCTCTCCGGATCCCCCCTACCTTCAGCTGCCCCTGCAGGGCAGCCTAGCTCCGTACCCGTCTGGGTCGGAGCCCCAAAAGCGGCTAGCGCGGCAGGGATCGCGCAGCTTCGCAAATCCCTGCCGCTCGCGAAGCCGACAAACCGGAAGTTTTTCAACGTACAACACTTAAATGATAGTCATAGGGTACAATCAACAATCAAATCACACTAGGAAACAGTCAATATAAATCCTAAGGATACAAGCAACAAAGTTACAGTCCTACAATCACAAGTGGGAGGGGATGGGTGATAAGGAGTGATGAGAAGATTAACAGTAATAGTAGTGTACACTTGTAAATAGTTGAACAGTGTTCTATCATTTGTAGCTCTGGCAGTTCTTCAGAACTGTTGTGTTTTATTTAGAGATTTAGAAATGCTGGGAATTGCTCTGAAGCTCAAGAAAAGCTCGTCTAGAGCATATGAATGCTCTAAAATGCTAATGTCTTCCGAGACAGCAGGCATAGGAACTAGAAAGAAGGAAGGGTCTCAGGTCAATGCAACTGGTTCCTTTCGTTTTGCAGCATTGCTTAGAGCAAGGGTCTTCAAACTTGGCAAGTTTCAGACTTGAGGACTTCAACTCCCAGAATTCCTGAGCTAACATGACTGGAGGAGGAATTCTGGGAGTTGAAGTCCACAAGTCTTAAAGCTGTCAAGTTTGAAGACCCCTATCTTAGAGCAATAAACAATGAAAAGTAAGTTCTGAATGCTGAAAAAATGCTGAAAAAGAGGGCTAGATTGCATATTTGGAGAGATGTAAAAATATGGGGTAATTTGTGGATGGCTATCTGACATGTTCAATATATGTGTGGAGATTGCATCTATGCCTGCAGATTAGAAAAATGCTATTATTGATCCCTCTAGACCAGTGGTTTTCAATTTAAACAACTTTATGGAATCTATTCCCAGAATTCTGGGAGTTGAAGCCCCCACATGGCTTAGTAGAAGGAATATTAATTGCCATTTTTTGCAGCATGAGTTCCCAGTATGACTGCTGGAAAATTTGTAGTGGTGAATCATGCTGTTCCAGTTTTCAAGCCATCTGCTCTTCTGACCCACCATATTTGTCAAGGGTCAGCAATTAATTTTCCCAAGGGGCCACATGAGAAACTGGGGCCGTTGTGAAGGGCTGCCACGCTGATGTTCCACTGGTCCACCCACCCACGATACCTGCCCCCTTCTTCTGCCACCCACCTCCACAGGCCAAATGTAGCCCATGGTCTGCCCAGGTCTAATATTTCTGCTATTTTGGGGATAACATCCCATGAGGACTGAAAAGATTTGATCCTCAAAGATAAGTTACCAAGTTTTATCAGTGAAAACCAAACATAAATATAAACTCCTTGATAGCGTATTCATTTGAGCAGAGGAAAGAGGAGGGATGGATAGGAAGAATCTGAATAACAGTATTTCAGCATTTTTCAGCAAAGAATCCTCTAAATACAAATAATATTTTTCTGCTATAGAAATTACTCTGTCTAGTACCATAGAAACTGTTACCATGGTGCCTATAATCCTGCGCTACTGTTTCTACTCTCTTTCCAAATAAAATTAATATTGGCCTGCATATGACTGGTTTCCTAGTCTGATCTATCTTGAAGAGCTGACCTGGTCATTGCCTTACAATTAAAGTTCCTTTTACACACATATCAAACTCTATTTCTGGAATCCCATTTCTGCAGGTACATTTATTTTACATTTGGGCTGCACAAATCCTTACAATAGCAAGGTGATATCCAAGAGACATAGAAAACCCACATTCTTTCCAGTCATCTAGATTGAAAGGCAAATTATATCCTTTGGCAAAGTATTGTGGGGAGAGGATTGGATGGAACACTTCGGCCTAACCCAACACATGTTTTACATGGCACTTTCCTTTGTGTCATGCAATTCAGGTAGTCTTTGATTTACGACCACAATTGGGATGGGAATTTATGTCACTAAGTGAGGTGGTTGTTAAGTGAGTGATACCCGATTTTGACACTTTTTGCTGTAGTCGTTAAAAGAATGCTGTGGTCATTAAGCAAATCCAATTTCCCCCATTGATTTTGCTGGTCTGGGAAGGTTGCAAGCAGTGATTACATGACCACAGGACCATGCATCCAGTGTAAAATACATCGTTGGTTACCAAGTGCCTGAATTTTGTTCACATGAACACAGAAATGCTGCAATGGTCGTAAGTGCAAGGACCTATCATAAATCACATTTCGGAGCATTATTGTAACTTCAGACAGTCACTAAACAAATGACAGCAAGTTGACAACTATACATTGAGCTGTATGGACAGCAGCACAGCATAGCTGTACTGTGAAGGCACCTAAGAGTGTATTGTAAAGGGAAGAATGATTTATGCTGAAATGATTTCCTACAGCACTGAGGAGGGAGGAATGGCAAAGAGAATGTGTGGACAAATCTATTTCTCCACTAGTAATTGATTATACTTTTATTGAAAAGCTGCACTTGCTACTACTCTCTCTGCTTTGCACTGCCTGATATCTGAAAAACAAACAAACCACCCTTCAGTACTGCATAGTTAATTATAATTTCTCAATATAACTTCCCACCTTGCTTGCGACATTAGTTAAGTGAACCACTGTAATTGTTAAATTAGTAACACAGTTGTTAAGTGAATTTGGCTTCCCCGTTGGCTGCTTGTCAGAAAGTTTGTAAAAGGTGATCACATGACCCCAGGACACTGCAATTGTCATAAATATGAGTCAGTGGCCAAGCGTCTGAATTTTGATCATGTGACCATGGGGAAATGCTACAACAGTCATAAAAGTGAGAAACGCTCACTATTTTCAGTGCTATTGTAACTTTGAATGGTCACTAAATGAGCTGTTGTAAGTCGAGGACTACCTGTATTACAAAATTTAAAAAGGTTTTTTTTCCTCTCCATTCTCCATCTTTCCACACGATCTCAAGTTGATTTTTCTGTTATCTGGCTTAGAGCTACCTTTTGGACTTGACGTAATCTCTGTCCAAACTGTGGCCTTATGCAATATTCATTGTTGATGACCCTGGAAATTAGCCTGCAGGGTTTTGGGGTTGTTTTTTTGGTCTTACGGTACTATATTAGAAAGCAAAGAGCCTGCTGGCATCATTTCTGATATCCTAGGTTAATTAAAACACAGAGTAGAATCTTGTGCAACCAAAAATAATGCGACAGGTTACATTTCCCCCCTTTTTTTTTCACATGTTGCTAGTTACATATATACAGAGGCGTACAATACCAAACTTGTGAACTGAATCCTTCTTAAAGTCCTTGGATCAAACCAGGGCCCTTGGGGTCTCTTTAGATTCCGCACTTATGAAATCGCAATCAGTCCAAGGGTGTTATGCCACTATTGACCCTTTCGCCCTTTCGTCTTCCTTTGTTTCATTCTGCCTGTGGAAATGCATGTTCTCAGAAGATACATTAGAAAAGCAATATAACTCATTTGCCATCTCATGGCTGCAGGCTTTCCTTTTCTCATGTTATGAAGGACATGTTTTCTCTCTTGCCTTTTGCCTCCTTCGCTGAGATTTTCTCTGTCCCCTTCCTGGATATCATACCTTCATCTCACCTACATGCATTCCGTTCCTGCTGAAGAGACTTTAGATCAGGGGTGTCCAACCTTGGCAACTTTAAGACTTGTGGACTTCAACTCCCAGAATTCCTCAGCCAGCTTTGCTTTAGATCCTTCAGTCCAATGGGCTATTTTACCTCTGACCACACCAGCGTTGTTACTTTTGGTTCCATGATTGGCCACTCTTTCCTTGCTCACTAAGGGAATGGTGAGAAAATGTGTAGTCCAGATTTTATTCCATGCGACTACATTTTCTTGCCATTTCCTTTTCTCTCTGGAGCCAGCTTGCAGAGGCCAGCTTAAATGGAGGCTGTTCCTATAACTGCTGTTCCTTCTTTCTGCCTGCCATACTTCTGCTAGTGTGGTGCAGATGGCTACAGAGGGGAAGGTCAGAGAGTCAGCAAGAGTTCTCCATACTGCCAGAGATATTGGAATTACCAAGTTTTGTCTTAGAGTGTTAAGAAATATCCAGCAATTATAGAAGCCCAAATTATGGTATAGTGAAGTAGAAAAAGAGTTGTACAAACAGGCACCAAAAAGTCGTTTCTAAACCTGATTTTTTTTTACTAAGCACAGGCAGATGAATGTAAACCTATCCAGTTGCTAGTCAGTAAGACTTTTTTCTTAGCAAATCACAGGATGAAGTTGAGTGTTATGATTAAGAAGCTGGACTAGAATCTCCGAGATTGTGAATTCTAGTTTTACTTTGGGCATGAAACACAGCTGGGCCAGTCTCTCTTTTACTACAACCCACATCACAGAGTTGTTGTGCAAAAAATAAGAGGAAGAAGCATTCTGTATACCATCAGTTCCATAGTGCATAGGGCCAAAGATTGAACAAAAAGATTATTTATTGGACTACTACTGATTATTTACTGGGGTAAAGAACAGTTGCCAAAGTGCACAGTAACAGAAATCCTGCAAGCTGTGGCAAGACATGCAAGCAGCAAAATAAAACTCATTGAGCAATTTCTAGAAGCAAAGTTCACAAGTTTGGGTCTTTTCCCCCCCCGTTGGCATCTGCTTGGAACCACAGAGCCAAGATGTCAGCATGTTAATCAACTGCAAATCTGGAAACGTGACGCATGGTAATGTAGCAGAGAAACCCATGGAGAAAATAAAATTATAGGAGAGAAATGAAAATGGTGAGAGCTGCTGTGTCAATCCTGGTGGACATAATCACACATATTCCTACTTTTCCAATAAGTTTTCTTTTGATTATCATTCTTAACTGAAATGTCTGATCTCTTCAAAGAATAAGATGTTTTAAATATAGATGCATTAATTGAGCTTGCAGTCAGAATAAAATGAGGGATTCTTGATGCTTTTTCTCTATCTTCATCTCAAATTATCTTTGATAACAGAAGTTTATTGTTCTTTTGGTTAATATACCAAACAATGAATGATTAAATTTTCTACTGAACTTAACAGATAGCAGGTATACTTTGTCCCTAAATATATGCTCGATCAAAAGTCCATTTTGACAATTTGGGTGTGTGTGGGGGGTAATACTATGCTAAAGACTGCCTCTCACCCTTGATTGGTGAAACGCGTTGATTGTGCATTTCTTTTCTCTACTTCCACAGATTAGGTGGAACAGCAGGAGCCATTTTGACTTGCCCATTGGAAGTGGTGAAGACTCGCCTGCAGTCTTCCACCTTGGCCCCAAGACCTGTTTGCCTACCTGCAGTACAGTTGCAAGGAGTGAATGGGACATTTGTCCGCCCAGGACTCCCCAGGATTGGCTTCCTCGAACTACTAAGGTGAACAATGTGGGAGAACAGATCTGTGTAACAGGGGAAACTTTGCTGAGGTTCTCAGGAATTTCTAACTCTCTTCTACCTTGAAAGAGAGGACAGAAAGTAATGTGCTCATCTACTCCTTTCTGAACAGAATCATTCTAGAGAAGGAAGGGGTTCGCTCCTTGTTTCGAGGCCTGGGACCTAATCTTATTGGAGTTGCTCCTTCCAGGTAAGATGGATTGAGGGAACAGGTAGTCATCTCTGATGATCCAAGCATAACTTTACAGAGCTTCTTATATCATCAGAGAGTTCAGGTCCTTTTGATGCATGGCCACAGCCTTTGTATTTTTTTTCTTGGTTTGTCATCCAAATTCAACCTTGCTTAGTTTTTGAGATGCATTTCCCCCTTCTACTTCTAGGGCCATTTATTTTGCTGCATATTCGGGAACTAAGGAGAGACTCAACACGGTGCTTATGCCAGAGTCCAAGAAAGTTCACATGATTTCAGCAGCCTGTGCAGGTAAATTAATATGCATACAAATATGAGTTGCCACTAATTATTAAGTACCTTAAGCTTAGTGAATGATCAGTATATACATCAGTATGCATCAGCCTTTTTACTGGGGAGGTCCCTTTGAAATAATGTCCAAGTCTTAAAAGGAACTTTATAATCAATGTTTTATGTTGGTCCTTTTGACTTTTCTTCATCTGCTTCATGCAGGCATCACATCTGCCACTTTGACCAATCCTATCTGGTTAGTGAAGACTAGGATGCAACTGGAGCGGAGGTAAGGGCAGTGGGAAATGCACCTGTCAGGACCCCATTTTAGTCACCTGCTTGGACCATTTCCAGGCAACATAGAAAACCAGCTTTTAAAACAACTAACTAAATGTAAAAGAAAACAGGGAGATTTGTCAACTCTTACAACTAATCAGAGTTCATATAGGTAGTCCTTAACTTATGACCACAATTGGACCCAAAATCTTTGTTCCTAAGTGAGACTTTTAAGTGAATTTTGCCCCATTTTATAACCTTTCTTGCCACAGTTGTTAAGTGACTCACTGCAGTGGTTAAGTTAGTAACATGGTTGTTAAATGAATCTAGCTTCCTCATTGACTTTGCTTGTAGGAAGGTTGCAAAAAGGGATCACGGCACCGAGACACTGCAACTATCATAAATATGCATTAGTTGCCAAGTGTCCAAATTTTGATCACTTGACGGTTGCAACAGTGAAAAATGGTCATGTCATTTTTTTTCAGTGCTGTTGTAACTTTGAACGGTCACTAAACGAACTTTTAAATTGAGGACTACCTGTAGACTATCCTGTGCTTAAAACACAACATTCAGAATTCTAGGAACTCCAGCCTTTTTTTCTTTTTTAATTTCCCTCAAAGTTACAAATAAATACTGGGGCATTTCAGAAGCTCAAGATATGCATAATACCTTTGCATGGTTACAATTTCAGTTCTTACGGAGTCCCTCCATGCCGCCTGAGGTCTACATTATGTAAAATAGTAAAAACTGTAGAAATCACACCAGTTCGGTATAGTGCAGTGTTGGCAAACCTTTTCGGCATCAAGTGCCAAAACAGGAGCGTGCATGTACTGGAAACTGGAAGAGCTGAGCCTCCGGTTTCCGACACGCGCATGTGCGCCAGCCACCCCGTCTTCTGGTTTCTGGCATGCATGCACACGTGAAGACCAGCTGGCCGGCCCACATTCACACGCCGGAACCTGAAAGAGCAATGGACATGCCCGGAGAGATGGCTCTGCGTGCCACTTCTGGCACACGTGCCATAGGTACGGCATCACAGGTATAGTGGTTAAGGTGCTGGCCTAGAAGCCAGAAAACTGTGGGGTTCAAATCCTACCTTAACCATGAAAGCCAGCTAGGTGACTTTGGGTCAGTCACTCAGCCCAAATCACCTCAGAGGGTTGTTGTGGAGAAAATAGGAGGAGTAAGGAGTATTATGTATATCCAAAGCCTTGAGTTATTTATAAAAGTAATTCATTTGGGATAGAAATCCAAGTAAAGAAAATCCTCCAAAACAGTTTTTTTTTTTTTAAATGGCTTGATTTGTCTGATTTAAACAGGTTCCAGAATGTGGGTTTTTGAATTCAAGTTTTAGCTGCAGCATGAGATACCCATTTTTAGCATTGAAAAAGCATAGCCAGCAACATGGAAGCAAAATCGAAGCAAAATCCTTCCTTCTTCCCCCCAGGGGCAGAAACGAGAGGTGCACCAGTGCCCTTCAGTGTGCCATGCGTGTCTACTACAGAGAAGGTCTGCGCGGCTTTTACCGCGGGGTTACTGCCTCCTATGCTGGTGTCACTGAAACAGTGATCCACTTTGTGCTTTACGAGGCTTTGAAGCAGCAGCTCAGGGAACACCAGCTCCTCTTGACTCCATCGGTTGTCTTATCGCCCAGTGGCCAAGACTTCTGCGGGCTGATGGCAGCAGCGGCTGTCTCCAAAGCATGTGCTTCATGCATCGCCTATCCCCATGGTGAGTTGCTCTGAGCTCCATGCTCTCCTTTGAAACCCATCGGAATGTAACAAGAGTAAGCTCATCCTTACACTCATTTTTTGTTTTGTTTTCCGTAGAGGTTGTTCGGACACGGCTACGCGAGGAGGGATATCGTTATCGCTCCTTTGTGCAAACCCTCCAGCTTGTGGCCAGGGAAGAAGGCCCCTTGGCTCTTTATCGTGGACTTTCAGCTCATCTCCTTCGTCAGATCCCCAATGCTGCAATCGTCATGGTTACCTATGAGCTGATGATTCACTTGGCAACCAAAATGTGACACTTTTCTATTCTTGCCAGGTGGCTTAAAGGCTGTTAAAGGCTTTGAAGGGGAGGATGGTTTAAATGGGTAATTTCCCCATTCCGTAAATCCTGTAAGAAAAGCCTGAAAAGTTAGGAGCCTTCTGTAATGGGTGGTTTTGAAGATCTGATAAGTGAAAGACACGTTCAGCTGCTCTCGGTCTTGGACAAAAGAGCCCATACTGATCACAAACCTGGACAGGTGTGGAATGTTTCAAAGAAAACATCTCTAGCAGAGGCTGGCAAGGTCTCACTGGCTAGATGGTCATTATGCCCATCATGCAGTTTAGTGCACTGAAAGTGTTATGCTGCACACTTCGTAGAGCTGGGTCAACTGAGTGGGAAAACAGTTTTTAAGAAAAGCTTAAAGGGAGACTAGGATATTTTATTGGAAGGAGATTGGTGATTTGGATCTCAAAATTGAACTCTCCCTCAGTATCGGGCAGCGATAAAACCTTTATAGATACAGCAATGTTTCTCTTTTGAGCCTACCAGAAGAGCAAATTGCTGATTCTCAGGCAAGGGTCCCCAACCCCTGGGCTGCAGACCGCAGCCTATTCCGAACTGGACTGCGCAAGCAGCAGGTGAGTGTACGGACGCCATGGATGACACTCGCCCTCATGCGCAAAGCAACATTTGCACAAGCGTCATAGGCCCGCCACTCATGCAAATGGCACGTCATGCACGCTCGCACTCACCCACCACTCTGAACCATCCCCGGCTGCCAGTCCTCCAAGCTGGAAAGGTTGGGGAAGGCTGCTCTAAATGTTGGGGGGGGCATTTATGCCTTCTCACTTCATGTTTTTCTCCATGTTCACAGGAAACAGTGACATTAAGGACTGCAAAACAAGGTCCTTGAGATGATGCTGTTCATGGACTATACCTTTGTGTTTATCTTCTCAGGCTTTGTTTACATTTATTGGTTTGTAGTTTTTAACCTCCCTAGCAGGAGGGTAAAAAGAAAATCAAGTGGAGAAGAAATATGTTGGCAGCTATTATTCAGAATTCTCCATGTGGGAGAGAGCTGTACAAAGTTGGTGAAGAGAATATCCTGCAATGGGACTCTAGCACGCCCTCCAGTTGAAAGCTTGTGCTTGGATTTCTGTTTGTATGAGGTTTTTAAAAATGCAAAAAAAAAAAGTTATTAATAAAAATGCAGTTTGTTCATATGCACTGTGACATATTTTAAGAAATGAAACCAGGCTTTATGCTAATTGGATAGATTGATTGGGGGTTTTATCCCACCACAATTTTGCAACTCTTAATATTAATTTATCATACATTAATAAAGAGAAATGGAAAGGAGTGACTCCCCTTTTGACTATTTCAGGTTGCATCCACAAAAGGAAGCTCTGGCCTAGGAATTTCCACTTGTGAAATTTTTTTAAAAATCCCATGGATTTCTCAATTCTCATACATTTAGAATAAGCTCTTTAGTTCAGGTCTTCCAGAGTTCCCCTGAGACTTTGACTGTCCTCCCTGTAGGAACCTTTCATTCCTAATAGTTGCCACCCAATTCTGGAGCAACACATAGAGCAGGGATTTTCAAACTCTTGTTTTCCATTGAATCCTTGGGTCCTGCAAGAAGTTGATGCTGTTCCCTAAGACAGGGGTCTCCAACCTTGGCCACTTTAAGACTTGTGGACTTCAATTCCCAGAGTTCCTCAGCGAGCAAAGCTGGCTGAGGAACTCTGGGAGTTGAAGTCCACAAGTCTTAAAGTAGCCAAGGTTGGAGACCCCTGCCCTGAGAGACTAAATGCAAAGAGAGAGAAAAATTACTTGAATATCGCAAATTTTCTATACTACTAAGACTTTCCTTCTAGATTGGGTTGAGTTTATATTTTGTGTGTGTGTGTGAGAGAGAGAGAGAGAGACAAAGATACAGAGGACTTAGAGATATACGTATAAAGACCCTCTAAAACTTCAGCTGCCAACCTCAAAATATGACATGAACTACAAGAGTCATGTTGGCTCCAACATTGCCTAGATGAACAAGTCCAAGTCAGATGTTGAGGAACCTGGACAATATGATAAGTGGGAGGCCTGGGTGCAGCGGTCCTAGGATAAGCAGGTGCAGGGCATGTAGAGCAGCTCCACTCCAACCCCTGCCCTAGCTTGATTTTTATACCTGCACCTCGCCCCAGCTCATACAAGCGGACGTGAAAATCGGGCTAGGGCTTGTTTTTGGGATATGTCATATTTTCAGGGAAACATGATAGTACAACAGCAGACCTAATGAGAAGGATATATGAACTGTATGAAGGAACTATGGATAGACAGAAAACCATACTGAGAAACACTTATCCTGTGTTTCAAACATAGTGAAGAGGAAGCTGCTATTACAACTTGAGATAGGCCAGCTCTACATTACATCCCAGACTCAAAAAATAACTGGCTTTGCAGCCAAACCCTGAAGCTGGAATGTCACTACCACCCTTTCCACTGAGTAAGGGATTGAGGAAGAGACACACCATCCATTCATGTTAGAAGGTGTGTGTGTATATGTGTGTGTGTGTGTGTGTGTGTGTGTATATATATACACACACACACACACATACTGTATATGTAATATATAACTATATACTTCTGACATAGATACATAGACACTATCTATGCGTACATACACATGTAAAACACACTTCTATAGATCACCAGATCTTTGACCAAAGTCATCTTATCCAGCTTCCCTAAAAGCCTTGAGCTCTGCACATTCTACTGTTCTGCTTGACAAATAAATGCTGCAATTCACAGAGGAGACTTCTGAAGTGGTCAACGATGAACAAAACTGCTGACTTGATGTATATCTCTTTGCCCTATTTTTGCTGCACCAGGTAAGAGCGTTTGCAAGACAACAAAGCTCCTTGTTTCTGAAGAAAGAGACTCCAAAATCCAAGAGTAGACATTTTTAAAATCCTTTTTTATTTTAAAATGTGTTCCATTCCCTTTTCCATATAATATTTCCTTTACTTGCTTGAATATTATTGACAATTTTACAAAGCGACACAAGCTGCAGGTTTTTTTTTCTTTGCATCAAACAAGAATCTCAAACAACAACATTGAAAAAATATACAATATTATATATATATAGTATTTTGGGAATTCTGATGTACCCCTTGTGTTGTCCTTCCCTGCTTATTTCTCATTTCTCTCTGCTTTGCTTAACATAGCATGCCAATTAACTTTATCCTGCTCAAGTGTGGTGGCAATCCGAAACTGGGAATTGAGTCAGGGGGCCCTGCCCCACCAGTCCAAGCAAAAAGCTTGCAAGTCGAGAAGAACTAGGAATCTTGGAAGAGAGAAGGGATTTTCTTCTGAGCCCTGCCGGTTGATTCTTTTTAACGAGGATTAAAATGGATATGCTTTGGGCCCGAGGAAGCACTAACCTCAAGAGGCAGAGCAGAACCAGAGCAAAATTAGTGGCCAATAACATAGGGTAAAATATACAATAATGCTCTCGCAGAGCTCCCAATTGTTTCAATGAGCTTTGGCTACGGAACTTCCTTGAAAATTGATCCCAATGGTAATTTAGAGGGAGAAGATGCCAATTACGTCTTTTGCCTCATGCACGAAAACTCCTTGCCAGCCCACTGTGCAAACAATGGAGAAAACAGGAGGAAGGGGAGGGGGTAAAATGTAAACAGAGAAAATGTGTAGAAACAGGCCATATCCCCAATTATTAAATGTAAGCACGACCTTTTGGTGGTGGTCCACTTTTACCCCTTCCATTACATCCCTCTAGTAGCGACAAGAGGCATCGTGCTTTCCCACAATGCGCCGCTCATCGATGGCATTGCTGGCTAGACTGTCTGGTGATTCAGAATCGCTGCTGTCTTCCTCTTCAGCGGCTTCCCTGGCTTTGGATTCATTGGCCTCTGCTACTCTCTCCTGGCAATTCTGGTATGACTGTGGGAAGAGAAAGGATGCAGGGTCTGATCCAAGTTAAAACAGGGCCCTCTTCCCACCCGTCCATCCCTTCCTTCACTCACCTCCATGGGATTGACGATAATGGTGAGAGCAGAGTCATCCCAGAACATCTCGTTCTCCTTGACCCTGGCACTCCCTTGGCTTCCTGCAGGCTCCCCAGTGCCCTCCCGTTCACTCCCTCGCCTGTGCAAGGAATGGATGCGGAGCACCCCTAGGATTACCATCAGTGCCAGGAAGCCCACGCACACCACAATGATTATAGTGGCAGCACTGGGAACCACTGCAGAATAGAGAAGAGAAGAGAAAGCCCAAATCGGTTGGGGAAATAATGTTTGGTGGGCACTTTTGAGGGGGGTGGATCATATAAAAGGCATAAACAACTTTTATATAAACAACAAATCGATGGTTGGTACAAAGTCTTGATCACTATATTACAGTCACTTGGAAAGCAAGGGTAAGTGGAAAATACTACTAACAAAAATTGAAAGAGCAGTAGAACTGTTTAAAACCTGTCAAGATGGTACATTTGCCCGTGCAGGTGTGGAAAAGCAGTTGCCTGTAAAAGGTAAAAGGTAAAGGAGTCCCTGCGGATTTTACTCTGCCAGTTGACTAGCGGGTGCTCTTCTCTATTTCAAGGGCCACTGAGCCAGCACTGAAGACATTTCTGTGGTCATGTAGCTAAAATGATGTCACGGAGCACTATTACCTTCTCACTGAAGTGATACCAGTGGTGGGGTTCAAATTTTTTTACTACCGGTTCTGTGGGTGTGCCTTGGTGGACGTGGCAGGGGAAGGATACTGTAAAATCTCTAGTCAGAGGTGGTATTTGCCGGTTCTCTGAACTACTCAAAATTTCTGCTACTAGTTCTCCAGAACTGGTCAGAACCTGCTGAATACCACCTCTGAGTGGTACCTATTTATCTACTCGCATTTGCATGCTTTTGAACTGCTAGGTGGGCAAGGGTGGGGGTGGGAGCTCACCCCTTCGCACAATTCAGGTCTCGAACCTGGGCTGCCTGCTTTCCAGCTGATGAGCCCAGCATCTTAACCACTGAGCATTTGCCCTGCTCTCTGTGCCTGTTAAGCAGCTGTGGAAAAAATAGCAAGCAAAGGGAGGGAATCCATTTTCCTTCTCTCCCTTTTACTTAAAAGAGGAACCCAGAGGAACATTTGAGGCCAAACCACCCACACAGAATCCAGTTGCCTTCATTCTTCCAAACATTTATCTTCACCCAGGTTTACAAAAGCCAGGTTATGAAGAGACAGTGACAGGAAGTGCTACAGTAATTCTGTAATGGAGAAAATAAATGTAGCAAATAAAAGAATTTGGTTTAGTGGTTAAAGTGCCAGGCTACTAACCAGTGAGTTCTAGACCCACCTGAGTTATGAAGCCTGCTGGCTGAACTTCACGCTCCCTCTCAGCCTTAGGAAGGAAACAATGGCAGACCATTTCCAAAAACCCTTGCCAAGAAAACTGCAGGGACTAGCCCAGGCGGCCACAAGCAAAAACTGACTCAATGGCATAAAAATAAAAGCTTTTTAGCTCCCTATCTTGCAGACATGACCAGGGTCAATCTGAGTTCCTTTCTTTGCTAAATTCTATCAGACCCAAACTGATCCCCCTGCAAGCCCAAATAGCCAAAGAACATGAGCCGTGAGTCCAAGGGCAGCTCAAGTAAAGCGATTCCAATATCCCACCCATAATCAGCCTGATGACCTCAACACTCCCTCTCTCCATCCTGTGTCCCAACCCTTCTGCTTCTCCTGAAAGGGCAGTTTTGCCCAATAATAGAAATAATCCCAGGGACAGAGAAAAGAACCTTAAGTTTTCCTTAAATTAGGGTGGGTGGAGCTGGCATCGCGACGATACGGCATGCGATCTTGGAGATCTGAGATCGCAGCCGATATCTTTGCTCCTGGACGGTCCAAACAGATCTAAACCGTCCCGAAGAGATGGTGAATGTAAAGAGCGCATCCTGTCGATCCCAAGGATATCGCAAAGTCCCTGATAGATCCAGGAGAAGCTCTTTTTGCCAGCGGCAAACAGTCAGCCATTAAAGCTGCTGAAGTTGGGACAGCTCCAAAACGAAAGAGAATGGAAAGAGAGAGTGTGCCGGTTTGGTGAGAACTTTTTCTTTAATTTAAGACTTGAAAGGACACCCTAAGGGGAAAAAAAATCTGTAAAAGTTTTGACAGAAGTGATTAAGCGGCGATTTTAAACAGGAATGTCAAAGTAATATTTTTTTTTTCTCATTGCTGGATTTTCTACACATGATCTTATATTTTGAAACTGGACTGGTTTTTTTTTCTTCTTTTTATATATTCTCCTTCTCTCCTTTTTGATTTTATAATATTCTAAGCCAGAGACTCCCTTTTAGTTATTTTTTAAATATCTGTTTCTTTTTTAATTAATTCTTATCATATTTTGCTTGGAAAAGGAGGGGAAAAGTGAAAGCTAAAGAAACTTTGTAACACTGCCAACTAGAGGCTTGGAAATATTCTATTTTTCTTTTGACCAGACAAAGCTGAGAAAGAACTGAGACTTCTTTTCAAGGACATTGCCTGCTTGATAAGATGGAGGGAAGAGTACGGGAGATTATTATTACAGGTGCTCTTCTGGGTTTCTATCAACAGCTGCAGTCTGGTGTTGAAGCTTAGGAAAAGAAAAGGTGACAAGTCTTTGGAGAAGAGAGTTATAACAAGAGCCTTGGATAATTAAACAAACTGCAGTGTGCTCTTTTTATTCTTTTTGAGCTGTGCTAGCCCTTCTCATCAGTTTACTTTTTTTTTTTTTTTTTTGCAATAGCTATTTGGATTTTTGGCTCTCTGGAATTTGTCTTTGTTTTTGTTTTTCTTGTCTTTGGAAGTTAAATTTCTACATCTGCTTTTTATTTTATAGGAAAAGCTTTAGTATTAATGCTTTCCTTCCTGCAGTGACCCTGCAGATGATTATGCAAGGAATTCAAAATATTCAAACAAGATCAGAGAATATTGAAAAGAGAATAGAGAACATTGAACAAAGAACATTGAACAAAGAACAAAGAACAGGGAAAACTGATGAAAAAGTGGAGAACATCTAACAAATGATGATGAAGTATGATGAGAGACTCCAAAAAATTGAAGAAGAAGATAAACAAAGAGACAAGAAGATTGGAGACATTGATAACAGATTAACTGTGGTTGAACAAGATAAAAATGGTATGCTGAGATGGGAGATGGACAGATCAGAATTTTATCTTAGATTCCAAAACATAGAGAAAGAAAAAGGACAAAATCTAGCTGAGACAATGATAGAAATATTGGCAGGAAGCTTTGGAAATAAGTGAAGAGAAGATGATGGATGGAATAGATGAGGTTTAACGAGTCTTTACAAGATATGCGATGAGAAATAGCTTACCAAGAGAAGTTCACATCAGATTTACAAAGAAAGCCATTAAAACGCAAATATTGCAAGTGGCAAGAGAGAAAACATTGAAATACAAAGATAAGGAGATTGTGATCTTGAAACAAGTACCCAGAAGAGTGAGAGAGATGAGAAGAGAATACCGATTCTTGACCAAATTGTTACTTAAAAAAGAGGTGAATTATAGATGGCTGATTCCAGAAGGTTTAATGTTTACATGGCAAGAAGAGAGATATAGAATTGACTCAATTGAGAAAGCTGAATCATTTTACACAGAATTTTTCAGAGGGGAGGAAGAGGCAGAAAAAGAAATTTCACTAATTGAATTTCAAGAGGATTCCCAAATGACGACTGAAAAAGAAGAAGGTGCAGTAGGTGGAAAGGAGGAAGCCAAAGAACAACGTGAACCAAGATCCACGAGAGCTGTCAAACCTAATTACAAAATATAACCATGGAAGAGAAAAAAATGATTACAATTAATATAAATGGACTTAACTCAGCCGTTAAAAGAAGGAAGATCTTTCATAAATTAGAGAAATTAAAATTTGATATAATCTGCCTACAAGAAGTACATATTAAAAAACAATATGAACAATTATTGATACAGCCAAAATTAGGGAAAATATTCACTTCCTTGACACAATGTAAGAAAAGAGGAGTGGTTTTATATATTAAAGAGACCATCTCAGCGAAATTGATTTATACTGATGACGACAGAAGAATATTAATGGTGGAAATAATGGACAATAATACGAAAACACTCCTGATTGCAATCTATGCCCCGAATGACAAACAAGAAGAATTCTATAAAAAATTACATATGAAAATAATTGAACTGGACTATGTTAATATAGTTATGATGGGAGATTTTAATGGAATTGTAGACAATAAACTGGATTACAAAGCACAGAAAACAATAAAGCAAAATAGAAAGACTCTCCCTAAATCTTTTTTTAAAATGGTAGATGAAATAAACTTAAAAGATACATGGAGAGAAAGAAATGCTAAAACTAAACAATACACCTTCTACTCAGACACTTATCATGGTCCAGAATAGATATGATATGGATGTTAACAGAATTGTTAACTAATATTCAAGAAATAAATATTGAAACAAGTACTTGGGCAGATCACAATCCAATGACAATTAAATGGAAAGGACAAAGAAGATCTAGATGGACGTTAAATAATACTATTTTAAAGGGAAAAGACTTCACACAGTGGATGGAGATAGAATTGGCCTTTTTCTTTGGAGAAAACAAAAAAGAAGATACATCAATCCAGAATGTATGGGATACAATGAAGGCATATGCCAGAGGCTTGATAATAGACTAAACAAGGAAAAGAAATACCATGAAAAGATTAGCCTCTAAGGCATTAGAAGATGAGTATAAAGGACTTGAAAAAGAGCTACAGAAAATGCCACAGAGAAAGGACATTAAGTTAAAAATGGATATAACCAAACATAAAATGGGTCTAATAGAAAAAGAAGAATTAGCACAAAAAATTAGACGTGCCAAACAGAACTATTTTGAAGACGCAAATAAACCAGGTAGATGGTTAGCATATAAATTGAGAAAGGAGAAAGAATCGAGGAAAATATTGCAATTAATAGATGACCAAGGCCAAGTTTGGTATGGTAGTAAAGAAGGAAATTATTCGAGATTTTTATGGGAAACTATACACACAAGAGAATATTGATGAGGAAAGAGTTAAACAGTATTTACAGAATGCTAATTTACCCCAGATACCTAAAGAGATTAAAACAGTGTTAGAAAGCAATATAACGATGATGGAGTTAACTGAAGCACTTAAGAAACAAAATAATAGAAAGGCACCAGGCCCAGATGGACTTCCGGCAGAATTTTACAAAACATTACACGAATCATTGAATTTCCCATTGCTAGAAGTTATGAATGAAGTTATGTTAAAGAAGAGGATACCTAAATCATGGTCAGAAGCTTATACCACACTTGTTCCAAAAGAGGACACCGATCCATTACAAATCAAGAACTATAGACCTATCTCCCTACTAAACGCAGATTATAAAATCTTTTCTTCAATATTGGCAGAAAGACTTAAAAAATATTTAAATAATTTTATCCATCCTGACCAAAATGGATTTCTGCCAAAGAGACAAATCAAAGACAATATGAGAGTAATCTTGGACACTTTGGAATACTACGAGACACATCCCGAAAAACTAATGGCTTTGATATTTCTAGATGCACAGAAGGCATTTGATAATGTGAATTGGCGATTCATGTTATTACTGCTGGAACAGATGGGCTTTGCTAGAAAATTTATTCAAGCAATAGAAGCTATATATCATAAGCAGATGGCAAGGTAATGATAGAGGGAGAACTGACAGAATCTATCGATATAAGAAAAGGAACAAGACTATCACCTTTGTTGTTTATGTTAAGTTTGGAAGTGCTAAACAGAAATATTAGAGATGAAAAGAATATAAAAGGGATGAAAATTAAAAAGGAAGAATTTAAGTTGCAAGCATTTGCAGATGATCTGGTTTTTATTTTAGAAGACCCACTAGAAACAGCATCAAAATTGATAGAAAAGATAGGGACATATGGAAAGGTGGCTGGTTTGAAAATAAATAAAGATAAGACAAAGATCTTGACAAAGAATATGCTATCAAGACAAAAGGAAGAATTGGCAGACCTATTGAAAATTCAGGTCACGAATAAGATCAAGTACTTGGCGATACACTTGACAGCAAGATGCAGTACACTAAAAGAGAATAATTATATCAAACTTAAACAGCAGATAGCGCTAGATTTGGCAAAATGGGAAAATTTACAACTGTCATTAATAGGAAGAATATCAACAATCAAGATGAATATATTACCCAGAATTTTATATTTGTTTCAAACAATTCCAATTAGGCTTGGAAAAGACTACTTTGAAGATTTAAATAAAATTGTGTTGAAATATATATGGCAAGGTAAGAAAGCGAGAATAAAGTTAAAACTTTTGCAAGATGCTAGAATAAGAGGAGGATTTGGTTTGCCTAATTGGGAGTTGTATTACCAAGCTACAAATTTGTTGTGGGTTAAGGAATGGATAACATTAAGAAATACTAGATTGTTGACACTAGAAGGACATGATCTGTTGTTGGGGTGGCATGTTTTTTTATGGTATAAAGGAACTAAAACACAGTGGTACTTTAGAAGACATTATATACGGGAGTCTCTGTGGTTCAATTGGGAGAAGATTAAAAGACAATGTTATTTGAAAATTCCAGTCTGGCTATCGACTATTGAAGCATTTTCTTATCCTATAATATACAAAAAGGAACAAACAGTTAGATATGGTGAAATATTGAATGAAAAGGGTGAACTTAAATCTATACAAAAACTAGAGGAACAAGGTATAAAGATGAATTGGTTTTCATATGCGCAAATACATTCAAGGTATGATAAAGATTCTAAAAGAGAAGGTTTCTATGAAAAACTGACTGACTTAGATAAGATTTTGACAGGTACTGATGAAAAGGTGATTAAAAAATTGTATGGCTATTTATTAGAAATTAAACTAGAAGAAGAACAAGTTAAAGAAACTATGATTGCTTGGGGGAAGAATTTTGGATATGGGATTGATCTAAAGAAATGGCAAAAATTGTGGTCTCAAAATTATAAAATGACAATGTCAACAGCATATAAAGAAAATTTGTATAAGATGTTTTACAGGTGGCACTTTCCCCCGACAAGAATAGCAAGAATGTTCAAGAATAAATCCGAAAAATGTTGGAAATGTCATCAGATACCTGGCTCATATTATCATACGTGGTGGACTTGTGCGGATGCTAAAAAATGCTGGACTAAAATCCACACGTGGTTGGAAAAAATGACAAAAAAGCATATAGATTTGAAACCAGAAATATTTTTATTGGGAATTTTACCTGAACTATATAGTAAAGACTTGAAATACCTGATTGTAAATGTATTAACAGCGGCTAGGACTGTATTTGCTAAAAACTGGAAAAATGAGAAAATACCATCACAGGAGGAAATCATTAAGAAAATATTGGAATGTGCTGATAATGAGTAGATTGACATTTGAAATTAGAGAACAAGATGATAAACAATTTTATAAAATTTGGGATCTATTCTACAAATGGTTAGACAATAAAATATAGTAATGAAATAGGTAGACTTTTAGAATATAATAAATATATAAAGATGTATTCTTTTCTTATTATATCTACAAAATGATTCTAGGATAGATCTGGGATGATAATACGAATTGTCATAAAACAAATTAAGTAAAATATGATCATTTTGGAAAACATGAATGAATAAAAGTATAGTCAAATGATTAATAATGATATTAATGTATTTAATATATTGATTGAAAATATGAGATTATATACAATGTAATTATAATTGAAGACTATGAAATGGAAGCACAAAACAATTTGTAAACCAACCGGCACACTGTATGTACATATATGGAAGATGATTTGATGTTTTTATGTTTTGTTTGTTTATGTTTGTTTTAAAAACCAATATTTTTTTTAAAGTTTTCCTTAAATTGCCCAGCAAATTGGATTTTCCTTCCCTTTCTATAAAAATCTTCACTTTCTTGTTGTTTGGTGTCGGGGGGGGGGGGGGTGTCCTCCTTTCTTGTAAGGAATGACCTATCAATGCAATAAACACGGTTCTTTCTCCTGGGCATTGGGTTCTATACTTCTCATGACAGTTCAGCCTCAAGGTTATGAAGTTATTAAACTACTAAATAAGAATTGCAAAAAAGATAATTTTGATAATCATTTAAGTGACTATCATACTATTAAAACAACAAATGCTTTATGGCAAAAGCTCTCCAATCCCCAGGATCCAAAGATGAATCACAGAAATGCAGTTTTGCTCAAATACATTCTGAATGCAATAATTGAAATCTGGGCAAGTGGTCTTATTTTACCTCTACATTGGGCTTAATTTATTCCTTGATGAATGTAAGACTCTCTTGAAGGATTATTTCTCGATTTACAAACCTCCTAAGCAGTGGTGGTATTCAGCCGGTTCGCACCGCATCAGGTGAACCGGTAGTAAGGATTTGGTGTGGGTCACCGAACCGGTAGTAAGTTCTGGCTGTCCATGCCCCCGACCCGGTCACGCAGTCACCACTGGCTCGCTTGCCCCGCCCGATGCTCACTCAGTCCGCCCACCTGATGCTCACCCTTTAAGGTATTTTTTTCTTTTTTTCCCCTCCCGACAATCAGCTGTTCATACGATCAACTGTGCCGGGATTCCTCTTGCTGAGGCCCAGGAAAGCAAAAAATGGAGGGGCTCAGCCCCCCCTCCATTTTTTTTGCCTTCCTGAGCCCCAGAGGAGCCTTCTGGGAGCAAAAACACCCCCCAAGGCTCCTCTGAGGCCCAGAAGGCCCAAAAACAGGTGGCGGGGGTGGCTGCACCACAGAACTGGTAGTAAAACATTTTGAATCCCACCACTGCTCCTAAGGTTCCCTGTCCTTTACTATAATTGCTCTGAATAAAATTATATGGAGGAGTCCATTTCAGATCTGCTGTGTCTCCTCTGTTCGGGCCCTAAAATTGTATCTGCTAACCTGCTTTCTCTTGTTACCATTTCATAGTCTGTATTTTGTATATTAACTGGTACATACTGGAATTACGGTGGACATTAGCCAGACTGTGCCCAGAAAGCTCTGGAGGAAGATGGTGGCCTCGATGTGTGAACTGCTGGCCACTCATAATGTGGTTGGGATGAGCGCCTCGATTCATATTGTGGAGGACATTCACCTGTAGAGGGAAATTAACTATGTTCAAATTACTTTATATTCCAACTGGTTCTGCTTCAGTTAATTCATGAGAGACTTTTGAGTGTCACATACTCACTTGTGAAACTTACCTCAACAGTAAACTCATTGCTGGAGTAACGCCCATTCATCTCAGTGCAAGAAAGACGAAACTTTCTTTCATAAAGGGCTGCACCATGGCGGATACAATAGGAGATCTGGTGAAGGATTTCCTCATACACAGCGATGCTCTCCACCCCTACATGTGGGAAAAGAACATCAAGAAAAAAGATGGCAAGTAGACCAGGTTCAGATTTGGCTATTTTTCTGCTCTGTGTTTTGTGAGATGTTATTATATGTTACTGTATATTAAATTTATAAACTGCCTAGGAATGTGATATAATATCATATGATGGGATTGGAAAGGAAGGGGAGGGAAGGGATGGATGAGATGGGATGGGGAGGTGAGATGAGAGGAGGGAAAGAGATTAGAAGGGAAACTAAACTTAATTTACAAATGAAGAAAATGCCTGGTGTGAAATACTATAAAAGTCATAATGGAAAAAACAGGAAAATAATGCCTATTTAACTTTGCCACTGCTTTTCCATTCCCCGCTCTGCTCATATTTCCCAGGGCAGAAAAATCTAGACTGTTTACCTCACTCACATGCAGCAGGAAATGATCTATGCAGCCAATTTACAACTATTATTTACCCCATCACTTAACTTTCTCACAAGTTGCACATGAGGCCACCCAAACTCATCCTTCTAATGCTCCCCCCACCCTCAGTGCTCCATTTGTCTCCAAGACCAATTTTATTACTGTTTTAAGTTAATTGTGACTTTTAGGTACTATATATGGGGAGTGGGGGGGGGGAGGCAATTTAATATTCTGGAAGCAACTGAAAAACTTCCAATCAGGAAACTGAAATGAATCCAGAAGAGAGAAAAAGCCCTGCAGGCATGGATGCCAGCTCAGAAATCAGTCTAATAGACAAGCCAATAAGCAAAGCAACTGTATTTAGCCCCCTGGAGAAACACAAAGACAGAGAAAGAGAAACTGCATTGATAATAACGAGGGTTTTTGATGTGTCAAAATTGAGGATCAGATGATTTTGCCTGCAGTACTTCAATGTTGCTGCAATAGCTCTCTTCAGTCCAATTGGAGTTGGACTGAGGTAACATAAACAGCATCGGCATAAAGAAGTATTGGGATTTTGTGTTGTGCTAAATTGGGAGGATGACAGTCTGGGTTATGTGAAAGATCAGTCAAGGAATTAATGTAGAGATTGAAAAGGGAAGGGGCCAGTGGTGGGATTCAGCCAGTTCGCACCACTTTGGGAGAACAGGTTGTTAACTTTCTGAGCAGTTTGGTAAACTGGTTGTTGGAAGAACTCATAAGGGCAGAGAACTGATTGTTAAATTATTTTAATCCCACCACTGGAAGGAGCCAAAATACATCCCTAATTATTTCTTTTTTTAAAAAAACTTACTGAACCAGATAAAGTCCCTTGGGGTATACACCTCACTTTTAAGGACGAGTTGGGATATCATTTTTGTATGAGGTAGAGGAGGCATCTAATGGTACTTTTTAATTTTTCCCAGAAAGTATTTCTGGATATTGGATCAAAGTCTTGTTTAAAGTTGAAAAGGGAAGATTTTTTTGTTAGATGTTTATTTTTGTACAAAGGGATAAAGCATCAAAATAGGATCAATTGTTCATCTCCCTTCCCTGAATCCAGCCCGCCTTTAATTGTGCCCTCTGAGATTATCCAGTCTTGAGATTTATAGTTTAGGTGCTCAGCATATAACTTGCTAACAACACTCAATAGACTTATGGATCTTTACTTATACGGATCATTTTTATTGCCCTTTTTATAGATCGGTACAATAATTGCCATTCCCCAGTCTCTTGGCATATAACCAGTCTGGTCTATAAATGTGAAGAGAAATGCTCATAGGGGTGTCCACCAGCTATGATTCTTTTTAATTATTCCTGGTAGAACATAATCAGCAGCAGGAGAGCATTAATAATAAACTTTTCACAAATTGCTCCACAGAATGCCTAGTATGCTTTGCAAAACATAAGGCACTTAGGAAGAAATCTGAATGTCTCAAGGAGAAGGATAAGAAATGAACACTTCCCTCATACTTTTATCCTGGTAGTCCTTTGTTAGTAGAGCTTTGAGAACATTGAAGCCTCTGACATTGGAGTACTCTGACTGTACCCCCTATCTGACATTCTCTGTCATGTGAATTATACATACAGTGCCAAAGTTCCTCTCTCTACCATTGCCATACGGAACATTAAGATAAAACTATTAATATAAAACAAAGGGTAGTTATGGTGCAGTGGTGGGATTCAATTTTTTTTTACTACCAGTTCTGTGGGTGTGGCTTAGTGGGCATGGCAGGGGAAGCATACTGCAAAATCTCTATTCTCACCCCACTCCAGGGGAAGTATACTGTAAAATCCCCATTCTCTCCCTACCCCACTAATCTGCTTTCCAGCTCCATTCTCCTGTGCAGGGCAACAAAAGAAGACCCAGCCGATCAGCTGGGACTCAGGAGGCAGAGAATAGATGGGGGCATGGCCAGTCAGAGGTGGTATTCCTAACTACTCAAAATTTCCTCTACCGGTTCTCCAGAACTGGTCAGAACATGCTGAATACCACCTCTGTTGTGGTGGCATTTGGAATATAATGGATTTGGTTACCTCTTTCCCATTGCCTACCACCCTAAAATAGAATTTCTCTTAATGCTTTGTTTCCAAACCATTATTATATTGGAGCTAAGCTAAGGAGAAAATAAGATGAGAGAGAGAGAGAGAGAGAGAGAGAGAGAGAGAGAGAGAGAGAGAGAGAGGCTTTTTACACATACCCCATCAATATGAAATATGATATGTGACATGATACAATATATTATCTAATATCGCTTTGTCTAGATCAGTGTTTCTGAATCTTGGCAACTTTAAGATGTGTGGATTTCAATTCCCAGAATTTCCAGTCTGCATGTTCTTGAGCGGCATGCTGGCTGGGGAATTCTGGAGGTTGAAGGCCAAACATCTTAAATATGCCAAAACTGAGAAACACTGGTCTAGAGAGGACTGGGACAGACAGGACTTTAAAACAAGGATATACGCTACCATTGTTGCTTGACCACGTCTGACCATGTATATGCAACAGTTGCTAGTTGACAAAACAAGAGTTTCAGTGTCTTTAGAGACTTATTGAGCATTTCAGGCTGACGACACAAAGGAGGTGAATAATGCCAGAAGAAAAAGGACTGTTCAGGTGATGCATACCTGTGACAGTGAGGTAGGCTGAAGTATTCATGAGCTCCAGACCTCGTTGCTGGAGGGACGCTCCGTCCAAGAGCAGATATTCGCGTTCAGGATCCAGTTCTTCTCCAATCAGGGAGATCTCACAACCATCGAGGTTGTGAACAATCTCATCTGACATTCGTGTATCTGCCACTGCCAGGAAGAAAAATTATGAGGAAAAAATAATAAAAATATGTAATTGTCATATGGAGGTTAACAAAAAAATCATTAACTTTATAAAAAGCTGGGATGTGTGTACAATTTGCACTGGAAGCCCAGGCAAATCATATTTTGGGCAAGATAAAATATTTTAAGTATCAAAATAATGGCTCTAATGAGAACACAATCAATTTTTAATTTCAAGACAATAATTAGCTGCTTTCCTGCAGGTTTACAAGCAGAACAAGCAAAATATGCCACTTCTGAACTTAGTAATAGAATTAACTAAACCACTGCAGGCAAACAATGGCTGGTTTTATGGAAGCCATTGTTTCAAAATTTTAATTTTCTCTTTACATGGTCATCATCATATTGTAAGCATCACTGTCGTAACAATTGTAAAATGCACTATATAAACAGTAAGCATTCTTACATGCTTTGGGAATTCTGGCTATTAACGTATCAATATATCATTTTAAGAGTTTTAAAGTAAAACATGCTTCTTTGTTTTAACATGACGGGATCACTCAAAAGATTTCCTATTGTTGCCGTGTTCTCTTTGCTACTCCCCCTATCTCCACCTCTCTTTTTCTTAATTTAAGCACGTATTAATTTCATATCTTGCATAATGTTGCCTTGTGGCTCTCTCCTCACTTTCCTTCTGCTATTGGTAAAATTAATAATAAGTTCATTGTGCTTTATAGCCTTTTGCTATTTTCTGTTTCCATCCTTCTTTTTCCTCTGAGAGGAAATGAAAGTAGGTTTAGTTTATATATTTCATTAAACTACTGTTTGGTTAACTATGGTTTATTAGACAAACCACTATTACACTAAATTAATCACGAGCAATCCAAAAACATCATCCCCAAGCTATATCTTGTGGTTCTGAAAACCTCCCTGACATACCATTAACATTTAGAAGCCTAATTTTCAACTGCGCAGCGTTAAGCCCTTTTAAAATGAATTAGCCCTCAAATAGCTATGCTAAGTTTCTGGTAGGTTTGTTTTAAGTAAAACATCATCCGAAGCAAAAACATTTCTTCCAATTCGTTCCATAGCATTTGTGCTACTTATTACCACTGCTACATTCCTAGGCCCCTCCAAAGCCAAAACAGTTTGGGGTCTTTCAGCAAAATCGTTTTCTCTTCCAATGCCTGGCTCTTCCTTGCCCTGCCGTGTCCCACAGCACCTGCGTCAGAAGACGCGTCCCTCAACTGACCTGTGCCATGCCAGCTCTCATCTTTCTTGGCCTCCACCTGGTGCGAAATGGAGCAAGAAATCTGGAGGTCAGGGAAAAGGAGGACTCCCTCCGCGTCTTCAAAGTCAGATGAAGGCCGGGCAAAGTGGGAACTGCCACGCAGTGAGATCTGTGGAGCATCTGGTTGAAGCACAACCACGTAGCCTTCCACGTCTGGTATAGAGACACACGACTCTTCACTAAAGCACCTAAGAGGATAACAAAAAAAATCCATGAGGTCTTCCTTGCCTCTTTCTCTGCCAAGGGGAATGCGACCTGAATTGGGTGTATAGCTGTTTATTTTAAAAGGAAGTCTATAGTGTATCCCAGCCTTGGCATACTCCTTGGCAGCTGATAGAACTTAACATTGACAAAAATTAAATTAAAAAAAAATCATTTTAAAAGATAAAACTAGAGAGAGAGAGAGCAGCCTAAGGGAAGCTACCACAAATAGGTAGATCACACAGTTTGGCCTGCTAAAGCTTCTGGTTTATTTAACTAAATATTTGCTTTTCTCCTGCTTTTTAAACAATTTTTATATACAGATGGCTAAGCAGATCAGGATTTCTGGAATGCAAAATGAAGTGATTATACATAAATAGGTATTTATATCTACTTTGGTCTGGGCTAATCGTTCTGAGCTGGTGCTTTTCCCTGACAGTTTAGCAACAGAATCTTGGCTCTCTGGCCAATGACTGAGAATACAATGTCCTGTTCAGTCCCAGGGCAATTGCCATTAGTTCCTGCGTATTCTTTCTAGTAGACAAAAAGAATCACACAATTGTGTTTGTGATACCATCTCCAGTAGAAAGGTAGTTCTGCTTTCCTGTTTAGATTATTTGCCTAAGAACTAGAGCTATCAGCCAGAGGGGAAGGAGAATATTTTTTTTGGTCTGTCTTATCCTCCGCTTGTTCAGTGTAAATTCAACACATTCACCTGAAAGCCTTTTTGCATTCCTAATCAAGAGAACCAGTTTGAAACCAGGAAGCCATTTGGGTGACTTTGGGCCAGTCAGTCACTCAGAGTTCAACCTATGTGCATAAGTGCACCATCGTGCCTCCCGTCCCTGTCCTATTGTCCCCATTTATTCGTACCTATTTCCTGTATTCTTGCTCATGTTTATACTTATACCTATTATCTTGTAAGTGATTGACAAATCAAATCAAATCAAACCAAATCAAATAAATAAATAAATAAAATAAAAAACAAAGGCAGGATAAAAATCAAACAATAAATAAATGCAAATAAAATAATCAGGGGCAAATACAATGTAGTGAGTAAAATACAAATAAGGAAACACACATAAACACAGTCTTGATTTCATTCTCATTTGTACCATAAACTCAACAGCTAAATTTAGATTGTTGGCTGTCATCTTTTAGCTCCAAGTGGCTGTTCAAAACAACAGTTTTAGGGTTAGGATCTAGGCCAGAGAAAGACCCCCTACTTTTTAACTTATTTTCCCAATTCAAATCTTACCAACCCTCAAGAAAATAAGACAGAGAGAGGGGGGGTTCAGTCCCATCATCTGATCCCCCACTGAGTCCTCCAGAGGCTTTGGACTGAAAACAAATTGATTCCCAGTATCTCATTATCCTGGCATATCACTACCTAAAGTAGGGGGAATACAGAGCTCACATTTTTCACAGGCTAAGAACAAATGATCGGTCTAAGAACAAATGATCAGTTGTGAAAGACTGTGAACCTCACATGGTTTCTCCTGCTACTACATAATTTTTTCACCTTCCATAAAGAAATCATTATCAAAAGGTTTGTTTTCCTTTTGCCTCCATCTTTTCCCCCTACATCCCCATTTTCCTCAAAGTCCCAGCTGCCTCTTTAAAGCACATGCACTTTGAAAGCAAAGAAGTAAACTGACAATTGGGGTGACAGAACAGCACCGGCTCCGAAATATAAACAAGAGTTACAGCTGCCGGGAGGCTGTTGCACAGCTTCAGTGGTCCTACTTACTTGACAGCGGTGGTCAGTTTGAGAGGCCGGACTCCAGGAGTAGCAAAGCGCAGAGAATTCATATAGGCCACATGCTGAATTGCCCGGTTGAAAGTTTCTACATCATCCCCCTCCAAAACAAGAAGGGACTGAGAAGGGTTGACATGCACCTGTGGGGAGAAAGAGGAAGGTGGATGTGAGGCAGCTTTGCTGGAAGTCTTAAGGGCTGTCGTCAAGAGACATGAGGAGACTCTCCGGTGGGCAGGAGCAGGCACGATCTGGGAAGCCAAGCCAAGGTGCTAACAGGGCAGGAAGGAAGATCATGCCACCAGAAGGCAGGGGAAGGTATACCTTCATCCCTTTGCCAAGGCTGTCAAAGTCGCTGTAGTCCAGCCCTTCACGACAGGCATAGAGACACTCTATCACCTCCCGGCTCTCAAGGCTGCCAGGGCGAATAGTGAAGCCAGCCAGATAACCATGGAAGAAGTGATGAATCGGCAGAGAGTCTCCTAAAGGAGGATACAGGAGGAGGGGTGGTGTGAGAGACAGGTGAAGAGACAGGAGAAAAGAGAAGAGAAAAGGAGGAAGCATGGGAAGAGCGAGAGTGAGAGGGAGGGACAGAGTCTTGGATATGCAGCCAGATGAGAAGCAGAGCAACTGCCCCATAGAAGATGGAGGGTGGCATACTGCGCAGAGCCAGTTTTCTTTTGGTGCTTTCGTTTCCCCAAAGCTATCCCACCTCTTAACACCAACCATAGCTCAGAATCGGTGAAAAATTTAACTGTGTTCTGTCTCAGCTTCAGTCCCTCTCACAAGTTGCAAAAACCACCATCCTATCCAGAAGCTGCTACACTGCTAGGTTATCATGGTGCCAAGACTTTCTTCCCGGATGTGAAGGGAAGGAAAAGATTGTGGGGAAGGGAAATCTCATGCATGAACAATGATGAGAGCCATGCTTGGTGGCACAAGGAATGTCGTGTACCTTGTCCCAAATCAGTGGAGTTCTCATTCCCTTTTATTTTTTCCTTGTTTCTCTCCTCTGCGCAAGGAAAAACAAAATCAAAACATTGAATGAGAGTCATCCTGTGAGGATTGTCTGTGACCAAGGAAGGCTTAGATTATTACTAAATCAGAAGCTAACTAAACACTTGAGATCTGAGAAATGAGCTTGCTGCTTCTAAACCACTAAAATTATTCGGAGACACTACATGGTGGGAATATGTGAGGGGTTATTGGGGAGCGGCCACAAAATCTTTCCAGAGCTTTCTACTTCCAAACTAGGTTTCTGGAAAGCTGAAATGTTTTTTGGCTAAGAAAACACAACACTGATTTTTTCCATTCCTTGACAGCCAATTTGGTCCTAGATATGTCACTAAAATGACTAAAACAAACTTTCTGTCTAGAATTAACCCAAACTGTGATCGGCCAATTAGAACATTTTTATGGGCTTGGGCTTGAATAATACTTGCATGACTATTGAAACAATTTCATTACAATATATGCTAGAATAAAGCCTTCCTTGATTTTTTTTTTAAACCACTTGCAAACTTAACCAACATCACCCCTTTATCCACTCTATCTCCAGGAATATTTATATTGTTTTTGTAGTAAAACATCCAATAGACACATCTTCATGTAAAACTATGGATGTTAGGATTTTTCTTTTTGCAAAAGGTTCTGTTTACTTAATTCTTTCCAGGTTTTCCTTCTGACTGCTTTTTATTTCTGCCATTAATGTACCTTACTTACCAGCCCAACATGCTCCAATCATGAGGGAAGATTCACGTCGAGGTGGGTGGATGAGACCATTGTCATGTATCAGAGCGGGGTCATAGGAAACACCATCTACATAAAGTGTAACAGTGGGGAACTCCAGGTTCAGAGCATAATGGTGCCACTCGTCATCACAGACCTGTGGCCAGAAAAAAGGGCACACTCCCGTGAGCCTGGTGCAAGCAAGAGAGAGAGGGTCATGGAGACAGCAAGGGAACTCATTAAGGCACAAGTGCCCATCTTCTCACCTGCTCCAGTTTCCAGAGGAACTTGACGGGCCTTGCATTCTCCAGCAGTGGCCAATACAGGAAAGCAATGCGGCAGCCGTGCACAGTTAAGGAGTAATGAGAGTACCCATCTTCTGCAGGTAGAGAGAAAGGATGGAAAGGATGGAATCAGCAACATTGTGATTGTTATCCCAATTTATTGAGATTATTTGCAGTGTCATTGATTTTAGTCCTCCTTATTTACCAGGAACAAACTGTGGTACCTGCTACTTGAGCCCGAAATAACATAGATGGTTCATTTTTAGAATGGCACAGCCAGTAGACCTTCTTTTCCCTTAAGCTCTCAAAACAGCTGTATATGTCACACCATTATGCACAAGGCTTACTTGATTTCTACTCTGAATGGGAGCAGTGAAATCTTTTTATTGTTACAATGTGTGTCTCACTGGAGAAAGCAATTATGTTTGGAAGAATTAAGAGTAAAAGGAAACTAGGCCACCAAAGAACAAGGTGTCTCGATACCATCAAAGCTGACACCAGCCAGAGCATAGAAAAACACAAAGAAGTAGTGCAAGAGTGGAAGATGCAGAGAGACCTGACCCATAGAACCTCCAAGAGTTGGACAGGACTGAATGGATAACATTAACAATAATGCATTTCTTGTATTGGCCGTCAGGAGGCAGTGCATGAACATTTTGTCACACACACACACACACACACACAGATGCTTCTAGAGCAGGGGTCCCACAGGCCACGGCCCATTAGTGGGCCATGAGGGGATTGCAACCAGGCCACAGAAATGGTCAGCAAGTGCATGTGCATCCTCATTTGCAGGAGCAGTGGGTGAGCATGGGCAAGGGTGCTTCATTTGCCTAAATGGCAGGCCCTCACACGCTTGTTTGCTTGCTGGCTACTCGCAAGCATCCCCTTCTCCACCTCCACTAGTCCATAAAGCCGGAAACATTGAGGAACTCTGTTCTATAGGGTTGAAACCAGGAGTGGGATTCTACCAGTTCGCACCTATTCATTAGAACCGGTTGTTAACATTCTAAGTAGTTCAGAGAACTGATTGTTAGAAGAAATTACTGGCCTAATCCTGTAAGGAAGGCAGGAAGGAAACATTCTGGTGTTGCTTACAGAAACTGCCTCTCCATTAACCCTTATTACATTCTTGGCAGGACTAGACTTCCTGTCTCAGGAACTTCTCTGAAGTTTTTTCCCCTCCTTTGCTGGTACTTTGCTTGTGTGGAGTGACCATTCAAAGTTACAATGACACTGAAAAAAGTGATTTATGACAATTTTTCACACTTACGACTGTTGCAGCATCCCCACAGTCATGAGAGGCCAGGCAAGGAGATGCATGCCTTGATGTGAGTGATATTGAGTTGGCCACGCCCAGCCAATAACATGACCACTAAGCCACACCCACCAACTTAGCCACACCCACAGAACCGGTTGTTAAAATATTTGAATCCCACCCCTTTGGAACCCTTTGAAACTCACAGGCTATTAAACTTTAGCTATATGTAGTGCATTAACTCTAGGAGTGATCCAAGCCTTGGTGCTCAGTGGTATTGTAGGAAGGCTTACTATACAGAGAGAGATTATCTTTAGGATGGTATGTATAGTCAGTCCACCTTCTTTTTTCTTAAACTCTCAAACCAGAAAGATGTAGATGTTACCACATATCATGCTCTCATGAAAAGGGAGTTTTCTATTTTTATATAATGTATATCTGTGGTGTTTTTATTTATAGTCATCATCAGGAGGCACTATGTGACTAGTTTAATACTGTCTGGGACTGCTTGTTGTAAAATCTCATATAAAACTGTGAAGGGTAGTGGAAGTCACCTAAAACCTCATGCATGAGGGGATGGCATACATCTTTATTTCTCTGCGCACAAGGCCCCAAACAGATGAAAGCAGTCATGTATTGCCTCCTGGTGGTCAGTATAAGTGTAACCTGACTATATTTGCATGCCAAATATAGGAAGTGGGGGAGAATTTCGGCTTTCAAGCAGAAAGACCTGGATGCTAGAATTAGTTCAGTAATGACAATGTATCATTCCAGTGGTTTTGGCCTGCTTGTCCCAGAAGCAGAAAAAGATATTTTACTACAAAGTACAGTAGAGAATAATCTTCAGCAGCATGTAACAGTATAAGGGAAATCTGAAAGTGTATAGGAGCAGAAAAGTATTGCTTGCATTTCGTTTTGACCTGGATAATGTTAAAATCTCATTTTCTTGAAAGTGCATTCATTTTCACAATATTAGGGAATATTCCCTTCCTTTCAGTTGGATGGAGAATGAGATTGTGATAGAGGATTTCAACCTCCACTTTGCTTCCAGCACCATTTTAATCGATGTCATTCATTTGTGGTATAGCAACATGTAAAAAAGCAGGCAAGCAACCAGTATATAACAAAAGCCTGTTCTTGGTTTTCAAGGAAGAATAAATGTCCAATGTTAACAAAGAAGTTAACAAGTGGCTCTTATTTTAACTTATTTCACTGTACACTTTTCACAATTACAGATAGTCCTTGATTTATGACCATTTATTTAATGGCCACTTGAAGTTGCAGGGGTGCTGGAAAAAGTGACTTACAACCAGTTCTGACCATTGCAGCATCTCTGCCATCACATGATCAAAATTGGGGCATTTGGCAATTGGCAAGTATTTACAATGACTGTAGCACCCCAAGATTACTGTACATGGTAGCCATTTGCAACTTTCCCAAGGATTTCTGTCAAGCAAAGTCAGTGGAACAAGCTGGATTCATTTAATGACTGTATAGTTCACTTAACAGCTGCAGTGATTCGCTGAAGGACTGCAGCAAAAGGTGGTAAAATCAGGCATTTCTCACTTAACAACTATATCACTTAGTGATGGAAGGTCCAGTCTCAATTCTGATTGTAAGTTCTCTTATATGCACTTGCACTGAGGGCCTACAGAAATTCCTCCTGAAGATCAAATATAATTTCCTGATCCTCTTCACTTGCCATGGTTTCATATCTACACATTGCAAACACGTTGGACATGATAGCCAAGAAACCTGAGCTGCAGAAACCCATTTTGATCTGATTTTGGCACCCCGGACAATGAGAAGGGCCTAGTCTCAGAAGCAGCAAATACACTGCCCTGCATGGACCTCAAACCAAAGATGCTTTTATCCACATACCAACACACACACGCTTCATTAGCTCATACACAAAGTGCAATTAGCGTTCATTGTGAGTGGAAACTATTTTAACACGCATTACGTTACAGCACTGAGAATGAATGCATTATATCCCCATGCTCCTTCCTCCTAGCAATCGGGTATTAAAATCCATTCACTTAGGTCAATTGAGATCATGCCAAAGCCTCATTTAGCTGCAACCTCTCTGTGGCAGGGAGAGAATCAGGAGCTTGGAAGAGCTGGGGAAGAACTCACAAAGACCCCTGGGTTCCTACAGGATGCCACAGTAGCAAAAGAGAAGGCATTGTGCAGCACACTGCCAATATCATCGTGTGTGCCAAGACAGTGGGAACCCATGCCAACAGCCACAAATGGTTTGATTCAATAGCAGAGGTAAGTTTTCATGGTAGATCAGCACTTTGGGAAAAGGTGAGTTATCTAGTAGTTCCTTCCCCCACCCAGTGAAATTGCCACTTCAATAAAAAGCTTTATGCAACTTGAACTAATATAGGTAGTCCTGAGCATAAAACCACAACGAAGCCCAAAATTTCCATTGCTAAGCAAGATAGTTATGAGTTTTGCCTCATTTTATGACCTTTCTTGCCATAGTTATTAAGTGAACATGGTTGTTAAGTGAATCTGGTTTCCCCCATTGACTTTACTTGTCAGAAGATCGTAAAAAGTGATCACATGAACTGGGGGCAGCAGTTGTAAATACATTCCAGTTGCCAAGTGTCCAATGTTCACGTGACTACAGAGACCCTGCAATTGTCATAAGCGTGAACAATGGTCACAAGTCACATTTCTCAGTGCCCTTGTAACTCCAGATGGTCATTAAACAAATGGTTGTAGGTTGAAGATTACCTGCCATGAGAGCCACAGTAACGTTCAATTTAATAGACCACCTGTGACAGGGAAGGATGTCTGTTAAATCTAGCTGTCTGTTAAACCCAAATGTCTATCACTGACACAATTTCTATCAGTGGCTAATTGATGTTTTTATGCAAAACATATAACTTGATGCAAATGATGTAAAATACCCATAGAATGAATTTGTACATTTCTACTATTATATCTAAACAACAACAAGGCACATGTAAATAAATAGTTTCATAGTATGGCCAGGATTCATTTTTTTAAATTATTGTCTGCCTATGCTGAATCTATCAATGAGCTAGAAAAGCTGATCACTTTCCATGGCCCAGTTCTCCCAACATCTCAACTGGGTAAATAGACAAATTAGTTTACTGTGGAAACATAAGGAAGTGCCAACTTTAAAGTCCTCACTTCAATGGGAATACACAAATGTCCTATAGGTTTACAGCCCCTGAACCCTCTGATCTACCGGGTAATCTCTTGTTATGCCAGTCTAGGTCAATAAAAGAGCCTCACCGCTCCTCATGGTGCTGCAGATGACAGTCTCCTCCTCCTTCTTGCCCTTGTTTGGCATCACCCCGTGTTTCACCCACAGGGACAAGGTAAAATGGTCACTCAGTCCTTCAAGAGCTCCAGTTCCACTGCCCATGGGCACCTGGGTTGCCTGGCTGCCATTGAACCAATAGATGAGGCTGCTGTCCTGGCTGTAATGGACCGAAAGTCGTGCTGTCCAGTTGGCCATGGGTCCGGGCACTGGCAGAAGGTCTACCTCACCTCGGGCAGCACCTGGAGGGATAGGAAAGAAGACTCAGAATCAGGAGGGTCCATCTGATGGTGCCTTCTTTTGGGATAAAGCTGATAGGAGATTTTGATGCTTAAGGTGGAAAACCTATAGAGTTTCCTACCTCCTTATACAAATTAACATGAGACAGCTTTCATTCTTAAGCAACAATCTCCAAAGTTGGCAACTTTAAGTCCTGGGAAATCAACTCCCAGATTTCTTCAGCTAGCATGGCTGACTCAGGAATTCTAGGAGTTGAAGTCCACAAGACTTAAAGTTGCAAAACTTGGAGACCCTTGTTCTTAAAGCAACCACTATGAAAATTAAATAAAAATAATAAAAATAAAAAGTGGCAGAAAATAATCTGCAGCACACAGAAATCTCCTGTTGGGTTTAATTCGCCCAGAGAAACTTCCTAATAGGTTGTGATCTTCAAAGCTTGTGTCTGTCACTTTTAACAATGCTTCAATGTCCTTCTGACTATCCATAGTTTAAAAACTCAGCCATCAGACTTTCTGGGTAAAACATTCTAGAGACCTTGCTTCATTGCCTACTCTTGAGAAGGTTGACCTAATTTAGGTAAAGACTCTTTTAGAATATATTTCTATATATTCCCACACACTCATATACACACACACATTTCTCCTTCAAACGTAACTGGATATGAAGTGAATACATACCACAGAGTTTACGCAGTGACTTCTCAGAGTAATTGTCCCGATCACAACCTTTGGCCACATGATTTGTCTGTAACTCTACAGTAGCTTGGATGTTCCACAGAGGCTCATCACATGTCTCCAGATGGATGTTGGGGAAAAGGGCAAGGCTGCCTGTTCCAGGGATGTACTCAATTCTTTTATTCCAACCTGTTGCAGATTAAATTATGTTAGAACATAGTGCTAGAGATTTTCCTCTGCTAGCTACTCCAGTTTAGATAAGCCTCTGAGCTTCCTTTAAAAAAAACAACAACCCCAATCCATCATTATTCTAATTACATACAGATTTTTACCCACTTTTCCTGCTAGGAAGCTGAAGTAGCAGGGGTGAAGGCCTTTTCTGTTGTATTTAGAAATTAAGAGTTCATTTATGTATTAGAAAAAAGATGTTTCTGCCGGTAATAAAGACATACAGTAACATTCAAGACTCAAGATTATTTTGACTGACAGTTATAAGAACATTAGGGTATAACAATGTTGCAAAACTTGATGTCAGGTATGAAAGACTAAGTCCACATCTGAAGGTCCAATTAAACTGATTTATTGCTACTCATACCTATGCATGGAAATATTTTCAGCTAAAGCTGCTAAAGGTTAGATGGTCAATGGTCCAGTTTGACATCCAAAGACTAACATTAATCTCACCGAATCCTAAGAGAAGCAATCTTCTTTGAGTTCTTACACTCTATGAGGGGGCCTGATTCTCTTCCACTAACTCTTGGACAAGTCTCCCCAACTTGGTCCAGTATAAAAATCAATGGAACCTACATCAGAATCAACTGATTTACACAATCACCAGATAACACAATAGATAGAACAAATCCAACCACTGTTGGCTTTTGCTGCAACATGAACTTACACACACTTCTTACATGAGGTCTTCTCATTGCATTCTGACACACCCAACTCCTACCTACTTCCATATAACTAAGTGGGAAGAAGTATATTCTTATATATAACCATTTTATGCTTCTTCGCAACATATTATTTACCAACTGCTACCTTTTAACAACGTTTACATGTCTTAGACTTTGCACATCTGTTTCTCTATCTTTAGAAAACATTCTACCAAGGAATACATATTTCCTGTAATACTTTGCCGTTTATGTATTACTTGCAATATTCTTTTCATTTTCCCTATCAAGCATCCCTTTATTTTCAGATTCATACTCCTTGTGGCATTATACAATTTAACAATTCCTGCAAATCATTTAGGTTTTCAATCAATATTCTTGTCCCTGAGGCATGTACGTGTAATATTACAAGTATTACAAATATATTCATAAATGCATCAAATAACTAAAGGAACATCACACAGTCTTACCTTATTCCAAGCTCAGTGTTGAATCACTTGCTAAGAATTCTTTTTATTCATGTACTTCCATCACATACCAGTAATATTGCATTCAGCAATCAACTTTCAGCTCCATAAACATTTCATAATTCAAGTCTATCCATTTTCCCATATGAACAAATGAATAATTACATCAGAACATTTGTTTTACATGTTCATAGATTGCATGCTGCTACTTCTCAAATCTTGCTCATTGTCATTTCCCATTCCTCCAATTGGAATTCTGCCATGCATCTTTCCTGGCACACTTTAATCTTGTTACCTTTCCATTTGTTTAAGGGAACAATTCTGGCATTCTTCCAATCCTCAGGCAGGGGTGTAGCCTTTGCCCAGAGACACCCTCCAATTATACCCTGTACATTTTCAGGCTTTTCATTTTACAACATGCTCACAGCATTTGTTATTTCTTATCTCTATGCATATCTTATCTTTATGATTCGTACATGCATTTTCTCATTCACAATCTCTTTCACTTCATCATCCCACCAATTCTACCTTCAGTAGTGCCAACTACTGAACTCCTACATGTCTTCTAGCACAGGAGTCCCCCACCCTGGGCCATGAACCGGTACCAGTCTATGGCCTGTTAGAAACAGGGCTGCACAGCTGGAAATGAGCGGTAGGTGAGCGAGTAAAACTGAACCCATCACCCCACCTCCACCAAGTCCGTAGAAAAATTTTGTTCCACGAAACTAGTCCCTGGTGCCCAAAAAGTTGGAGGCTACTATTCAAACACAAAAAGGGCACATATATTTTGTTTCCCGACACATCCAAAGTCATGCCCATATAGTTGTTATTGCTAAGTTATTGCTATTCCTCCTTTCTGGTATAGCATGATAAAAAAAAAAAAACCTTGACCTTTGGCAATCTCTAGGAAACAATCCTAAATTTCCTACTAAATTCCTAGTTGGGAAGTTTGTGATGAAATTAATATTTCCTTTGCTAAAGGAAGACCACCTTGAGAATATCTGGGTGATCTTAGAATGGCTTTTGGAGTTGCCATTCTGATGTCAGCATCAAGTTCCCTTGTTTTAGAGCAGGGGTCCCCAAACTTGGCAACTTTAAGGCTAAGGAAGGCTATGCTGGCTGGAGAATTCTGGGGGTTGAAGTCCACAAGTTTTTAAGTTGCCAGGTTTGGAGACCTCTGTTTTAGAGCCTGGCTGGTTTATCCAACACAATGTGTGCCCAGCGCTGACAAAGAACATATGTCATACTGAAGAATGACATTGTGGAGGACATTATAAAGTTCTGTTTGCCAGAATAGATTTTGGGAAAGAATTGGCATCTGGACTTATTGCTGTTGGTGGCAGAAAGAAATATTAGTTCTTTATATAAGGGAGATATTTTTCCCCTTAGGGTAGAGTTAAGAATTAATAGAATTCTTCTAGCTTCACATTTCTTCTTTTCAATGTTCTCGGGAGATATAGTGAGGCATAAAAGCCTCTCTTTTTTTA